GGATGGATGAATACATATTTCTCCAATGATGGAGGGAAAGAAAAAATTTTCTTTGAATCTTTTTTCAAATTCATTTGGCACCCTTAAGAGAATGACGAGTGGAAGATCTATGCGCGCGCTCCCGCGCGCGCCGATCTATTCATTTGTTGAAATGAAGAAATGGAATTCATTAAATTTCATTTTCTCATGAATACCTTATAAATATTGATAATGAATCAAAGAGAATTCGACTAATGATTGAAGTGAATAGCGAAGTAGTAAAAGAATCTATAAAAAATTTTTCATTTTCAATTAATTATCTTCAATTTTTAAAATAGTGGGTCTATAAAAGGACAGAATTTATTAATTTCACCGATAATATATATACATGTGAAATATATCGTCGCATTAAAATCAAAGGGGCGTAAGTGCCAAAAAACCCATTTTAAAAGTGAAAGGGGCGTATGTTCCGAATTCCTGTTTTTTCGGTTTTTCATGGAATTTCTGACCAAAAATCGGAAAAAAAAAACATTCTAGGAAAAAGGCGTAATTGCTATATTTCAACGGGAAAGGGGCGTATCTCCACACTTACGCCTGTTTCATTTCATTCAAAAAATGACACTTACGCCCTTTTTACATTATGTGTTGTGCACTTCGGATGACACATTTCATGTTGAAATAAAACGAAAAGGGCGTAAGTCCCACATACGCCTCTCTCTCATTATATCTTAGGTCTACTCGCGATAATGAGTTTTATATTGTTATATCAACATAAAACGCTTTAACTATTTTCTTCTTCCTTTATGGTCTCATTTTCTTCCGAAGTGTTCAAAGCAGTCACGACTCGAAATTTCATACAGATAATTTCCTGAAATTCGCAGTCATAATTAAAAAAATGAAATAAATTAATGAATGAAATCGAATAAATTTAGAAGAAAATTTTAGAAAATTTTAGTTTAGTTACTGATATTTCTCATGAAATTGTTTCATTCAAGCAAAAAATCAAAGGGAAATAATTTGAACATTCATGATGAGAGGGAGGGAGGGGAGGTTAATGTAGAATCAAATATTATTTATTATTAGGGCTGTAGTGCATGTGATTCCCTTTATACTTGATGAATCAATAGGAACGAACAGTAACAAATGAAGGGACATATATATTGGAGTTACGCCCCTCTGTGATTATTGCTTCAAAAACAAAGGGACGTATGTGCCTGAGTTACGCCCCTTTGGAATTATTCATTCTCAATATGAGCTAGAAAAGAAACAAAAAGTATAAAAAGAAAGAGGCGTATGTGCTGGAGATACGCCCCTTCAGTACTTGCTAGTCGGACTTACGTCCATTTGCCACTTCAGAAATTTGTCCACAAAAAACCTTTCATAAGTTGAGAAAACTCCATTTCGAAGGAAAAAAAAACATACGCCCCTTTGGTATTAAGAGAAAAAAATCTCAGAGAAATGGCACTTACGCCCCTTTGATTTTAATGCGACGATATATATTATACATATTTATGACGTGAAAAAAAAATTTACCACTGAAGAATTTGAAATTATGTCACTGAAGAATTTGAAAATGCCGCGTTTTTTTTGTGAATAACTTCGTGTCACATATTGACCAACCAGAATTGAGGATTAGCGGTCAGCAGTTTCGAGATATTTCGATATAAAACAACTTCACGTCTCTTTCATCTTTAGTAAATAGGAGGATTTGAGAGAGACTGAGTAGTCTCTCCCTCTCCCACTTCGGGGGACAGCTGGGGGCCTTCACCGGGCTATTTACCCTCTATTCTCGTTTTAAAGTGCGCAAAACCCTCGACAAATGCCACGAAACCTCCTCTGATCGTAATTTTCCCCAAGTAAGTTGAAGAATTTGTCGTCAAACCGTGAACATCACTCAGGGCAAGTTCCCTTCGTTCCCGGGGGGTCAGACCGGATCGATACGTGTGTTTGGGCCCTCATAACCTCACATTCGTCGTTCGACACAGCATTCGAGACGTTTTCACAATTGGTAATTGCTTATGATTTTCTGTTAATTCGGTTTTAGGGGTTTTTTTTGTTGCTCAGGGGGTTGTACAAGATGTACAATGGAATTGGGCTGCAGACCCCTCGGGGGTCAGGCACTAATGGCCATGTACAACGTAATTGGGCGATTGTTCGTAAGACTAAGGACAGGGTTGATTATAAAAGTGAGGAAAAGGGGGATCAGTTGAATAAACAACCGAATCAGGAGATTCTCGAACATGTGAGGAAGAGAAAAGTCGAGGTCAAGTGTGCAGAGTTGATGGACATCTTGGAAGATCAAGGGTATGTACTCAATATCCTAATTGACTTTAATTAAGCGAGTGAACGAACAGTTTAATTAATTGACGTTTTTTAAATTTTTTTCAAACTCAAAAGTGATTTTTTTTGGATTTTTCGACAGATTAACACCTGAAGAGATTAAATCCAAGGTTTCCACGTACAGGGAGATGTTGATGGGGAGCGATGCCAAGCCTCAAGTGTCCACTGATGAATTTGGACGTGTGAAGTAAGTGAAAAATAATTAAACCGATTTTTTTCTGGAAGGAGGGAACATTGAGAATTTTTCATTGTCGATAACTCGAGATAGGCTGAGTGAAAATTTACGTTTTTTTTTTCATTTTGAAAACAATTTAACAAGCTTGAAAATGCAATTTGATTTATTGAAATCGCATCGTTCACTCGGGAGATGTAGACGATTCAAAGAAGACTATTTTGCTTCACTTCCTCTGACGTAATTTTTTTTTTTCATTTCAACTCTAGAATAAAATTTTCCATTCATTAAAAAAAATTGGCGTTCCTGACACCCCCGTCAGATTGCTTTCCACTCGAGAAACTCCATGAAGACGAAAATGAAAAATGTCCTCGAGCAATTTTCTAATGCAGCAGTCTCCGGAAAAATGAAAACCCCTAGAATCATTTTTCTTAATGAAAAAAAAAGGTGTCTGCAATCTTTTCCGCGTCTCAATTACTCTCCAACCCTTCCAGGAGTCTCCCTGAAGCCCCAGAGATGCCATCCATCCGTAAATCCGTGTACACAGGCCCGATATTGACTTCCTCTGGAGCGCCGGCGCCTCTCAAATTCCCCTTCGAAATGATGAAAACATCCACTCGCGCATTAAGTGGGTGGGGTTACCCCTAAATTCACCCCCGAGTGAGTTCCCCCAGCATCCAAAACCTCTCCTGGAATTCAGTGTTGCAATGGACCGGCGTCCAGACGCCACTGGCAGTCCAGAAATCGCGAATTCGAGATAAATAAAATAGGGAAAATGTAGTCCAGAGGCGACTCGAGAGTTTTCACACTCGTAAAATCACATAAGTCTTCCACTAGGTTTAATAATTAATATTAAGAACATAAATTAAAGATAATTAGCAAGAAACTAATCTAGTAAATTTATAACGCGTTAATTTTGTCAATTTTCTAACCATTTTTCGAGTAAAAAAATGGAAATTGAATTTAAAATTTAAAGAAAATAATGAATTACTGTGAGTGTGCCTCATCCAACGTCTTCCAAGGATATTAATCACTTGAAATATATATTATTGATTATTAAAAGTATGCAAACACGAATTTATGAGCGGAATAATGCGAATCGACGAATGAATGAGAATTTTGTGGAGGAAAAATTGCTAAATTACCAGGGAAATTGAGCTTTCCGGTAATTGTGGGATGATTTGAGGCACCAGGAAGTCGTTGAAACCTCCATTTGACGTGCTACGAGTGCCTCCAAGTGTCCGGAGATCATCCAATCGTCCCAGGAGGCTCTCCTGATTATTCGACATTATATTGAAATAGAGTTTATTCAATTGGCGGATTTATTTTGAGACCCAAATGACGATGTCTGCGTTCATACCGAAGACAGCGCGTGGCCGGGGCCCACCTGACGGTCGAGCCTTCTTCGAACGCCTCTGGAGGGGCAATTTCTTTCTCGACAGGCAGAAAGTCATCAAGAGATCGAGAAAACGAAAATTAAATACAGCTAATGGTAGAAAAAAAATGATGATGAAGCATTGCTGCTGCTGTCAGAGAATTCAGCTGCATTTGCTTGCCGGGAAGAGGACTAGTATTAAATCAGTCGTGAGGTAATTGGTGGAATTATCAGGGTAATTGAAAAAATAAATAAGCAAAAGGTTTTTTAGAGAATTTTTTTAAATGATGAGGGAAGAACGGAAAACAAAATTTTTACTTCATATTTTATTTATTATCGTTTATATTGCTTCAGATGATTCAAAATTGATAACATTATGTGGACAATTTTAAAAAATCAATTATTCAACTTTGAACTTTTTTTTTTACCACAAAAAAACGAAAAATAAAAACAAAAATAAGGTTTTCAGGCCTTGGCAATTCATTTTTGATTAAACTAATTCAATATCGATGAAATCATTTTTTAAAAAATTGAAAATCAATTTTTGAACTTCATGAGACAATATTTATCGTAAAAACCGGTTGTCACTTGATATTTCCTTCAGTACTTTTCGCATTACTCTAGACATTCTCATAAACGGATTAGACTCATTCGAAATTGGATGAAGAAGGCTTCCCATATTTTCATATTAAAAAATCCCCATCTCCGCAGCAAACGATCCCCTTAAAAAAAATCAAAACTCAACCCAAACTCGAAACAAAAAATCGTGAGAATTCCCTCTGCCGATCTCGAGAACGTGCAGCATTGAATAAGATTTTCCCCAATTTTCCCGTAGAATTCAGCTCCTCGACATGTGTCACTTTATTTATTCCAGTTTTATTAACCCTGATCGTATTAGAGATTTCTCGTGGGGTGGAAGCATGAAGGAACGGTATAAAAAGCCAACGGGTGGGGATTGGTATTGATCGAGCAGCTAGGGCGTAACGAAATGAGAGGGGGAGGGTTGGATACGGCAGTCCCCGGCTTCAGTCATTCCGGGGGTGGCTTATATGATAACTGTGTCGCTGGCAGTGGTGTTATGTCACTGTTCTCCTAAATTTTCATCGAAATATCTCGTTAAAACACTCATCAAACCGTGAATTCAATTGCCTCCTGAGAAGAATGACAGTTAAACTGACGAATCGGTTTGTAAATTTTTCTTTCTCACTTTCACGTTCTTCAAATCGAGAGATTTGAATTCACATTCTCTTGTTATTTTTTTTTTTTGCCATTGTTGATGAATTACTGAGGGTTGAGCGTCGATTTAATTGATTGTTCAAGCGTCCGAGAGACACACCAAGTGGCTGAGGCACAGCAGGAGAAGAATGCCAAGTTGAGGGAGGCTTTTGGCATATCTGAGTACTTCGTTGAAGGCAGTAGTCTGGATCCTGAACGACACGCTAGGGAGGCCGAGGCCAGGGCTGCTGCCAGCAAAGTTTATGAGCTTGTGCACAGCCCCAGTCCACCAGCCGTTGAAGAGACACCAGCACCTGAGAAGAAGAATAAGAGGAAGAGGTCGGCCAGCAGCACCAAGAAGAAAAAGGGGAAGAAGCATAAGAGGGACAGGTATACCACTGTGTGAATGATCACGCGTCTCTGGAGGCTGGAATCGCTGAGGTCGCTATGTCGTTGACATTTTTTTCTAAAATTTTTTTCAACTGGTTTTGGGGAGAGGAATACAATGTGGAACGGTGAAGTGTGAAGGAATTGCATGATTTTTCGTGATTTTTGCTTCCGAATGGAAGCGTTGTCAGCGTTCAAATTTAAGGTTTTTATTTTTCGGGGTTTATCGACCCATTGTGATCTCAAAAGTACGGAAATGCATTTTTTAGACGCGTCCCTACGCTCGTTTGTATGTTTGGGTGGATGTAACAAACTTTTTCTTCAATTTCTCGTTAATGAACTGATGGGATTGAATCTTTTTTTTCTCAAATGTTGGTATTGCTAAGCCCTATCCATCGCCGCTTATTCAAATTTAATTCATTGATTCATTTTTTTAATTTTCGAATTCTTTCAAAATTCAGTTGTAACGCGATAACTAAAAAATTTTTCTAAATTCATTGAATGACGGCTTAAAAAAATCGGTGGGATGCCCTTTTGACCGAGTTATTTTGATTTATCGTTATTTTGATTTCTGCGAAATTTTTCCAAAATTTCGTATTTTTCGAAAATCAGAATTCCGCAGATGTCTCTGGATATTGCGCTTCAAATGAATTCAATCATAGCTCAATATGTTTGTTTCTGTGCGACTATATCGATGTTGGAAGATGGTTACAATAACTGTCTCGGTTAATTTGATTTTTAGGATAATTTTTAGATATTTCGAATTTTTCATTAATTCCCCGGAAATTTAGCTTTCTGATGGTTCCTTTAAATCTGATGTTTCGAATGCGTTCAATTATGTATAAATGAAATATTCCTAATAATATTTCATAGAAATTTTCAGAAATTTTTAGAATTTCATTGAGTGGAAAATCTAAAACAATTAGTTGGAAAGAAATTAATTCAATTCAAGAAAATAAAATAGGCTATGAATAATATACAACGGAAAAAATTAGCAAAAATAATTTCTCATGTGAATTGTTTTTGAAATGAATGAAATTTTCAGTTGATAAAATGAATGGAAATTTGCGAAATTTCATCAGTCGATTTTTTACGTTTGTACAAATGTTAAATTATCTTTAGAACCAATAGCTCTAGATAAAAATGTGACAAGAAATTTTTCGTTGGAAATTGAATTGCCCGCAAAAAATTCCTGTCACATTTCTTCCTAAAATCAAAAGCTCGCAGGATAATCACCAACAACGAAAATCATAAAAATCTACCTTTCACATTTTACCTCTCACATCTCCACAGTCTCTCCACCCAGAAAGAATAATAATAACTGGGTTAAACCACAACATCAATACGTAATTCGATAATGATAGCAACCAATGAACCGTCTCGAGGCTCCAAGACCCCCCGTGAATGCTGAAAAAACCTCCCCTCAGTAGTGTTAAATAAAAAATTTTCCTCTCATCGATCGATCTTTATTCACTCTTACTTCTCCATGTTTTGCCAAGAGTTCCACATACTCATACGCTTTCCACACATCAACGAATACTGAAAAACCAATCCCATTGTATTAAATCAATTAATTTCACTGGGTTTTCATTTGATTTTTTACAAAAAAAAAAATTGGACAAATTATTCATGAAGAAAATCCACTGTCTCATGCCCCGTACACCTTTCTCTGTTTCAAACAGAACTGAGGAGGACTGAGTGCCTATTCATTAGGCTCAGTAGGTAAGTGTGGTCGTCGGGATTTTATTTTTGCGAAAAATGAAAACAGTCACTTGATTGTCAATTACTATTACTATTATTTTTCATTGAAAATATGGATTTTAAATGCGAAATGAGGGTCTGCGAGGTCTTTTTCATCGTAAATGTTTGCGTAGTTGTCAAAATGCATTATTATTTTATCATTTTATGACGAACATTTGCTTAACGTCTGGGTTTTTATTGCTGTGTGAGAAAAGAAAAAAAAATACTAAATTTGTTGTTGTAACGATGAAGCCTGTTGTTAATGTCATCTCTCTATTTTTTTCTGACAAGTCCGTCCCTATCGATGGTTATCAAGGTAATGCTAATCCCATATTATATCAATAATCCTCACAATTTAACGTGTATTGTCTTCTCTCGTTTTATTTTCATTCATTTTTACGTTGCATTTGTTATTTATTTAGTTACTGAGTATTCAATAATTTTGTGAATCGTCATTTCACCAAATTATCGAATGATTTTTCGTCTTTTGTCGTTGAATTAACGAATTTTAGTCGATCTAGAGTATTTAATCCCCCGAGTGTTGAATTATTACTTGAATAATTCAATTGTATGTGTTACCTAATGAGATAAAAAGGAAAAAAAAAGAATTTCTTTTATTATCAGCACAAGATGATATGCACTTGATGGCAGGAAGACGTCCACTGCAACAATTAGATATTTAATATAAATAATGCAATATCATTTTTTCATCCGTAATTTCATCTGATGATAAACAATTTCTTCAAATTTATCGTTGATTGTTTAACTTCTATTGACTTTTTGTCTTTTGTTTTTTTGGAACTATTGCTGTAGGTCCGAATCACCCAAGATTGGTAAGAAGAGGGATAAGTCGAAGAAAAAGAAGAAGGAGAAGAAACCCAGGAAGGAAGTTACAACTAGTGACAGTGAATCGTCTAATGAGGATTCTGATAACAGCAGGTGAATATGTAGTTTTCAATGAATATCTCGGAATCTAAGGGAGATAGTGAAATTTTTGTGAGAACCTTTTTTGTAAAGCCGATTGAGAGCTACAACAAATGTCATTACGAAAATTTCGCTATCTTCCTTAGATTCGGAGATATTCCTCAAAAACTCAACTGGGAGATGAGTCGACTTAAACCGCTTTACCATTTCGCTACTGAATTATCTTAGAACGAGTACCTCTGGACGAAAATGTGATAAGAGATTTTTTGGCGGAAATTTAATTCTCTACAAAAATGGTCTTATGACATTTTTTCGTAAAATCAATAGTTAGGGAGATAATTATATAATGCTGACGTTCAATACAAAAAATTTTAGTTCCTCGGAGGCTGAAATCAAGAAGAAGAAGCGGAAGAAGAAGAAGAAATCAAAAACCGAGAGCAAACACGAGGTAAAATATTCATTGAGAAATGAAATATTATTTTGGAAAATCATTATATATTTATGGCACGAAATGACTGGCATGTGACACTGTTACTCATTTTATTTGAATTGTCATAATTATTTATGCTGTCACAGGCTCATTGTCTCCATCAACCCATCGTCTCCCAATTTTTTTGAGTTTTTATATGAAGTATTCATCATTCTCGTGCATGCAACTCTGCCTGTTGCTGTTCATAAAAAAACAATGACAAAACAATTGTCTGAGCGTCGAAAATCGACCTTTCGATCATCAAAAATTAATCGTCGAGTGGTTGAGAAGTAATTTTGATGATTTAAATCGTCCGAGAGGCTCAGACACCTTCACAATAGTCTGGAAATTTTATTCATTTTTTTTTACATAAATCCATTCACCTCAAAACTGAATTTTTAAGACAACTCATTATTTCAAAGTGTAAATCTCAGTATTGTTTGTAATTATCAGCGCCATTTGACAGGATACATTCCCTGAGTGAGTACCCGACATGCCGCTACTCAATGTAATAAATAATTTTCGTTAATTAATTATTATCATAAACGAGTTTGCGACTGTTGTATGGATCACTTGTTTTGTTTGTGAATAAAGCACTTTTCGACGTTTTTTGCTAATGAATAATTCGAAATAACGAAAATTATGAGATTAATTTGAAGAAAAAAAAAAGATATTGACTCATTCAGAGAAATAAATAGAAGTGTTTTTAATTTTTTTGGAAAATTAAAAACTCTTTCGAGTGGGAAATTTTGATTGTTGTGAAATTAATCCCCGAAAAATGTATGCATGGAGAAATTAATGTTGTATCTCTTCAAGCCTGTATTTTTATATTATTTGCCATTAATGGGTGATGTTTCATTATTTTAGAAGAAAAAGTCGACCAAGAGGAAGCACCAAAGTTCTTCGAGTTCATCTGCCTCGTGAGTATAAAAAATGAAAAATTAAAACTATTTAATTCTCTTTCGTAGATTAACGAAAACCAAAGATTTAATGCAAAAAAATAATAATAATAATCCCGGGGATTATTATTCGGGGGATTTTCGGGTTTATAGAAATAGAAAATTGAAAAAATATCTTCTTTTAAGGCCCGAGAACATTTTCAAGGAGCGTTTTTAATCAAGATCAAGGCCCGTGTGTACTATCGTTCGAATGTTATCTGGATATTTTTAATCTTTCGTAATCCAAAATTGTCAATTTAGTGGTACATCGTGTAGAAATTCCCAAAAATTATGACAGAATGATGAAAAAAATGGAAAATATTCTGGACTTTTTCAAAGAGTGTTTTTAATTGAGATTCAGAATGAGTTGAAAAAAGTGGAAATTACAAATATCTGATTGACTGTGGCAAATTATCTATTAGCTGTCATTTTCCATGGTGGATAACAAAACACCAACTCCTCATGGGAAGTGACAGCTAGGTATCTCAATTATCAAAACAGTAGTATGTAGTCATCTGCCATTTTTATGTGATAAAAGTGTGATTAAAAAATTCTCCAAAATATTAAAACTTTTGAAAAGATTTACAAAATCAGTCTTCCCCCTGCATGATATTGGGTGACAGGCCGCCACTTGTCACCGTAAATCAGATACATTTTTCAATTTCTTGTTATTCAACTTATTCCGAATATAAATGAAAAATGCTCTTTGAAAAAATTAAGAATTTCTTCTACTTTTTTTTGATTATTCATTCATAATTTTTCAAAACTTCTGCATGATGCAGGACTCAATTGACAATTTCAGATGACCAAAGATGACCAAAAACATGGAGATAACGTTCGAAAAATAGTACACCCTGGCCTTGAAGAGATAAAAAAAGATTTGTATAATCCAGGTTCTTCAGACCAACCAATGAATGGAACAATTTAACTATCCCGTGACATGAAGCAGTCATTTATTCTGAAATAATATAATTCTAGCAGTGAAAAGTCATGCCAGAAATGTGACCTTAAATTCCACATTCCCCTGATCGTTTACTGTCCCTTTAACAATTTCCAAAAGCAAATGAAAGGCTAAAAACCACAATGAACCTACCTCAACGACGCGCGTTCCTTCCCCGCAATAAAAAAAATCTCTCGCCAATTCCAGCTCTCCAGAGCGTCCTAAGAAGCGCGCAAAGACTCCAGAGAGGCCGCCAGCCCCGGCCCCCCGTCCGGAGAAGACCCGAGGCTCGACTCCCCCCCAGAAGTCCCGAGAGGTCGATCGAGAGAGGAAAAAATCGAAAACCCCCCCGAAGGAGCCCCCCACCACCCACATCTCCCGCCGCAATCGTTCGTCCTCTCGACCCCATGGTGACCGCACAAGAAGCCCCAGATCCCCACGAAAGCTCTCGAGGCAGTCGCGACCGAGAAGAGCCTCCCCATCCCCCAGAAGACGAAGGGCAGTGTCTCGATCCCCCAGAAGACCCTCTCGTTACTCCCGATCCCGCAGCAGGAGTCGCTCCAGATACTCCAGATACACCTCCCGACGTTACCCCTCACCCTCGACCTATCGGCGACGCAATTCAAGGTCAAGAAGGCAGACGTCGAGGTCCCCAATGAGGAGAAACAGACGCGAAAGATCCAGAGACAGAAGGAAAAGCAGATCGAGGTCACGATCTCTGTTGAAGAGATCGACGAGTCGATCGAGAAGATCGAGGAGTCACTCGAGAAGATCGAGGAGTCACTCGAGAAGATCGAGGAGTCACTCGAGAAGATCGAGGAGCCACTCGAGAAGATCGAGCCTCTCGTACTCACCAGTCAGACGACATCCTGATCGGTATCGAGACGTTCTGGAGGATAAAAAGCACAAGACGTCAGAGAAGCCAAAGGGAAAGTCCAGATCTCCGTCGAAGCAGAATAAACCGAGGATCATCACCCCCAGGGTCTCGCTGAGGTCCTCCAGCGAGGATGAGGCCGACCCTGGGGACGACGAGCCGAGGCCTGAGGACGAGGAGAGAATCAGAGAACTCAATACTCTGAAGCAGCTGCAAAGTGGTCTAGCTGCTAAAGCACGTGAGTCGCTTGGAAAGAAAGTGATTTCTCCGGTGAAGATCAAGACCGAGAGGAAGGAGGAGATCCTGGATATTGCTCTGCCTGCGGAGCCTCCGAAGGAGCTGAATATCGTTGATCAAGTGGTGGAGAAGTCGCCGGATTGCGATGGAAAGCTCGAGGAGGTGAGTCAGGAGGTGGGGAAAAATCCTGGGAGATCTGTTGAGTCGAGCAGATCGCCTTCTCCTGCGCTACCTCTGACGAGAGAGGAGGCCGAGGTGGAGGTGCGGATCGAGCTGAGGTCGCCGTCAGAGTCGCCTCCCTTGGGGCCCAGGTCCCTGGGGAACAAGTCCTACTCGAGGTCGAGGTCCAGGTCCTCTTCGAGGTCGCTATCGAGGGACAAGGAGTCCAGGGGGTCGAGGAAGTCCAGGTCCAGGGACAAGTCTGTCTCACCATCGAAGAGGTCGACCAGTGGGTCTAGGGGGAAAACTGGGTCGTTGGGGTCGCCGGCGAGGTCCAAGGCCTCGAGGAGGTCGAGGAGCTCCTCGGGGTCGAAGAGGTCACTCTCGAGGTCGAGGTCTGTGTCCGTGAAGAAGATTAGGAGCAGGAGCACCAGCAGGTCGAGGAGTGGGGGGAAAAAGTCGAGGAGTCGCTCGGTTTCCAAGTCCAGGAGCAGGTCCAGGTCGGCCTCGAGGGGGAGCAGGGACAAGGGGAAGAGGAGTCGAAGTAGGAGCAGCTCGGTGTCTTCGAGGAGGTAGAGAATTCATTTCAATTTTTTGCGTCAGAATGAAGCATTGCAATCCTTTGATTTTTACATTCTTTAATTTTTATTGGAAATTGTGTAGAATAGTCTGAAACGTAAAATTACGGGGTTTGGCGACTCGTCCCCTTCCCGGTGGGCAATTTTTAGGAAATTGAGTAATCAAGTGGCTAAAGTAATTGCAAAAAATCGGAAATTTTGCCAGATTGTGGGTCTTGAAATTTCGATCCATTTTTTTTAGGGGGGAACATCATTTCTGAACAAAAAAAATTCTCCAAAATTTAAATAAAAAAAATGAAATAAATGAATGAATGATGAATTTTTTTGAATTTAATTCTCCAAAAATGATGGTTCCACCCTATTCACACCAATTTCAATGTTTGCCGACATCTTCGAACATGCTAAATTTATTTATAACAAACAAATTATTCAACAAATCGAAATTCAATCATTGAAGTTTTTTCAGTAAAAATTTCACAATTTTTGGGGGAAATTGTGTCGATAAACGAGATGATTTAATACGATTGAATCGGTTGGATGTCAAATTTTCATCTACAACTTTTGTTCATAGAAAAAAATATTATAAATGCATTGAAAAAAATTAAAATAAATAGTTCACTGCAGAGACAATTCCATTGACTTTCCAAATATCTTTTCCAAATGTCAATGTGTCTCTTGGAATTTGAGAAAGTGATTTTTTAGTGCTGACAGAACAAGTTTATGGGTCGATGCATGGTATCGACGCTGTACGTGAGGGGTTAATGAAATATATTATTCATTTAGTGATATTCCTGAATATTCCTGATTTAGTTCTAGGCACAGTAGAAGGAGTTTCTCATCATCCTCTCGTTCCTCAAGCAGTGGCTCAAGTCGTTCCTCTAGGTCGTCATCAAGCTCATCAGGCTCCAGCAGATCGAGGTCTCCCTCAATTCCACGACGCCACGGGTCCCCGAGTTTCCTCGACAGACGTCGTATCACCAGGTAAACAATTTCCTCAATTACCCCTAGAATTCTGCACTCGATATCGTTATTTATCGCTAAATATCGTTAGAATATTTTGTTCAGTTGATTTTACGTTGTTCTCTCCTCTTTTTTTTCGTATGTAGCAGAGACAGATCAAAGGGCAGACCTAGAAGATGAATTCGCCACGTCAATTATTATTTCTTTTTGCCAATTTCTTCAGGCACAAGAACAAACGAATTACTCTATTTTTTTTTCCATCGTTATTTCAGTTTTGTAACGAGTGATTGTTTTTTTTTTACGAGTGAAAAATTATTTTCACTGGCGTTTTTGTGACGAATAGACTTCACTGTACTTTCACAATTTATGCATTAATTACGGCATGTGTGGCATAGAGTAGTTGAGGTGGACGTGGAGAGGTGACGAAATTAATCGGGTGTTATTATTCAGAAATGTAAATGCAATAATTATCAGGAAACAAATCAATTTAGAGCTTATGAAAATAATGTCTGACTCGTCTCCATCGTCCTCTCAATCAGAAATTTGTAAGTTATTACTGTAATAAAGTATTGTATATCCTGCAAGACTTCACCTATTTTTATGATTTATTTATACATTTTTCACTCATGTGAAGCCCGAAATAATGATGAGCGCAACGAAATCCTGGGGTAAGTAATCATTTTTTTAATTTTTGCACGACTGTTTTTCCTGCTTGTTCATTGAATAAATTTTATTTAACACCAAGTAACAAATTTAAATTCTCGGGGAGATAATTGTACTAATTTTGCGGTTAAAGTAGCTCTACTCTTCGCCCGGGCTACGCTGTACTTTTGGATATTTTCAGTTTTTAAATATTTCAGCTAAATTGCATGGAAAAAATCTGAAAATATTCATACCCAGTCAGTATTATCTAAATTAAATTTTCCAAAATATTGATATTTTTTCAAACATTTCCCTCTTATGAATAAATAATAAAACTTGTTTGCAAAACGGTGGATTATTTTTTATGAGGTGTCGAAACAATTCTTGATTTTTTCACATCTAATGAAGAAAATTCAGATTTTAATCTTTGATTACAATGGAAATGTTGATTTTCACATTTTCTTCTTTGAAAAACCAAAACGATAATTTGAGAAAACAAATTAGAATTCCGAATCTATTCGAGTTTTCTGCATTTTTTTTTAAGTTTTCAATAATCTTTGAATTTACCGTAAGGGTAGAGCTACTTTGAGAGGCTGTGGGAGTGGAAAAAAATGGAAAATGAGGGAAAAACCGGGAGATAACTCTGAAAAATTTTTTCAATTTTTTCCATCGACTTTTGGCTGAGAATTCGCGGCCCCAAGTTTCTCCAGCAGCCTCGTAACTAGCCTGGGCGAGTGGATGGGGCATTTTTTGACTAATATAATTAATTATAGCGCTAGAAAACGACCGATACCGTATCATCGACCAACACCATCGCCCCCATCGTCTCCCAGCACCAGTGTATCCTCGAGAAATTCAGATTGGTCGAGTCCAAGTAGAAGATCCAGTCATTCACCAACTCGAAGTCCATCTTATACACGTTGATGTGTACGTAATCCAATTTTTCTTCGTGTTTATTTTTTTTGAGAATTTTTTGAAATTAAATTATTCACATTTTTTCGAGATAAAAATCGTGTTTATCTCCCCGTCTTCTTGTCCATGAGAAATGTCTCTTCATTATTTTCTCGTTTATTTGAGAGGATTCTAGTCGAATTAAGATGATATTGAAATTGATCTGGTGACCAAATTGAGATGAATTCATTGTGATTTTAACGATATTTAGTGCAATGTTGAATTACCATCTGTTTTTCCACTTGTAAATATAGATTATTTGTACTAATTATTGATTAACACTTTAGACGTTTTATTAATCAATCGATAAATTGATTAATTAGGTAAGAATTATCTAGTCATTAATTTATTCAACACTGATTTGCGGAAAAATCGAGGAAACTATTCGTAGAAAATGATTTATTTTAATTGCACGTAATTAAATTCATTCGATGAAGTATTAATGAAATTGAAATGTTAATGATCTCTGATTTAACTGTAAGATAATCTGTATTGTTGTTGTGTGATTAAGAAAAAATCCAAGCTTCACGATAATAAAGAAAAACCATTGGAAATTTATTATTTTGTGATTTAACAGTGGGAAATGTGAAAAATTGTGGAATGCAATTTTCATTTTCTCATCGTAAATTGATGATCAATCTCTCCGTTTGGTCGAGGCTTTGGCACGAGCATTTGCGAGGTAAATTGCCCATGCGAATCCGATGAAATTGACGACGAGAACTCGCAGCTGAAGGGGAAAACAAATTAATGAATGACAATGGGTCTTATTTGGGAGAAGGAGAATTTACCATTGGTGGGACGTAGCGAATGTTGATGAATTGCAGGAGAGTCAGATATTTGTAATTTGCGAGTAGAATTGGCAGGTACAGCTTCTCCATGTTCTTGTAGGAGTCTTCGTGAGATTTCCCCTGTGGAGAATCCATAATTAGGGAGGATCCAAGTAAAAGTTCAATTGTTGATCAATTCTAAATATTAAAACTCCTCACCACAAATTCAGTACACTGAGGGAAAAACTAATACGTTGTCAAACAAGTCTTGTTTGGGCCAACAAAATCGCTAGTTGAAAATTGCCAAAAAAGAATTTGTTCGGTTGGAATTTGAAAGTCTCAAACATGAATAATTGTTCTGCTTTCGACAGCAACGAAATATTTGGCTCAAGAGGCGGATAATTCACACCAGGCGGTGCCTTTTCAGGATGAAAATATCTCATACAGAGGAAAATTTATCAACTAATATTTTATCCCCAAGTTACAAGATTGCTATCATATCATTATTATTGTTTCATTTAAGGGTTCATTTGTTGTCTGTGATTATTAGACAGCCGAAAGGAAAAACTACTATCCCTTGTTTCGCATAAAACAAAGATTTTTCGGGAGCTAAATACGTATGGGAGTATCGAATAACGAAGGAGTAGTGCTAGAAATGACATTTCTTGCGTCTACAGAGAATACAATTTTTTTTGAACTACTAAATCATTTTTTGCAGCAAAAATTTTTCATTCCGCCGCACTCTCTGCATGTTTGGCACAAACAATCCTTTTTTGATAATTTCAAAAAAATATTTTCTTGCCACAAGAAACCATTAATTTTTTTGCACTAATTATTCGTTTTTAGACACATAATCGATCTTCAATGCATGAGAAATCTCGCTGCAATACCCGACTTAAAACTCACAGTCTCCCCTTAAAAAACAAATTCACAAATTAATTCTAATTCAATTACTCTCACCTCGAGTCTAGCTAGCATATACAGCGCGAATCCCTGGAAAAGAGGGGCATAGATCAACCTCTCAGCAAGCAGTATCCCCAGAGGATGTCTCGTCACGAAATAAATATACTTATAAAAGAAATGAGGCACTGGTCCCCCAAACAACAATCTAACACGAACAAAAATCATTAATATTATTAAATCATTAATCATAATTCCCTTCAAAAACTCGAAAATCCTCAGTCTCCATAATTACCCGAATAATCCAAAAGCGAGAAGGCTGTCATGATTGATCTCCTTAACTCCCAGTATTCTCTGGGATGCATAATTGCCCGCTACAGCCAATAAACAACTTTAAATAGAAAATAAATAAATAAAGTACACAAAAAAACAATCAGAAGCAATTCACTAATTCATTTTTTTACTTACTCCATTTACTATTTTAATTCATCACAACATTTGTTATTATTATTAATTATTAATTATCACCATTAATTCATTAATTATTATTCAGAATTAATAATAATATAATTATATAATTATATATTAATCATTAATAATAATAATGAGATAATAATTAATTAATTGTGATAATGAAAATAAAATAATTTTTCTCACTAGATAAAATCGTATTGATCTTTTTCCTTTGACATTGAGAAATCATTACTTTTGTATAAGATAATGCATAATTACCTAGTAATAGCCTTCGTCCGGATGGGATTTGTGTACAAACTACTGAAATAAGCACCAACAATGTCAAGGATAATCTGCGAAGGCTTTGACAGTGACATTGCAAATCTATTTCTTCCAAAATATATTTACCCTTGCAGATATACTTGGATTTGTGAGAAATAAGTGATCGGATTATTGATGAAATAGGCGTCGAGTCATAGCCGTTTTTTTTTCTAGCTGATAAACAGTAGAGTTTTGTGGGGAGATGTGTCGAGAGTGGACTTTGGGATTCGAAAAAAGAGAGCAAAATGTTTGGAGAATGGATTTGCATGTGTTGTATGTCTAGTGGTTCGCGCGAGTGCCTGAAGAGGGCGGGGGCTCTGGTGACCTTGGGAACGTATATTGAAGAAGATATCGAAATCGCAAGTATCGATATAATTTGAAAATATCGGCTGGAAGATATCGATATTTGGAAGAAAATATCGCTGAACCGATATATTTTTCATCTGAAATATTCACCAGTGACAAGACGGGAAAACCAACTAGATTGATCATGAGTATAGTAATGGAGTCCGATGAAATTTGAAATAAATAAAATCCTGCGGTATTGACATCAATTTTTCCCTTTTTTCTTGGTAAAATTTCATTTATTCTCTTCCGAAATTCTTGAAAATGAGAAACAAATTTAGACTTCGATATTGACGAAGAAATATCGAATATCGATATATTAGTCGTCAAATATATCGGTAGAAAAATATCGATATATCGAAGTGTCCGGTATTGTATATCGTTATATCGATAAACAATAATCACCTTCACTTGGGTTAATGTAGAGATGATCAATACGTCTCGATATATCGATATATAATATCGGACATTTCGATACGCCTCGATATATCGATATACAATATCTGACAGTTTGATACGCCTCGATATATTGATATACAATATCGGACACTTCGATACGCCTCGATACATCGATATACAATATCGGACACTTCGATATATCGAGGCGTATCGACCATCTCTACATTAACCTAAAACTGGGGGGACGTAGGCAAACACACGTGGGAAGTGGTTTATAAGAAGAATTTTATTTTTGTTGGGTAAAAAAGGGTTTTGGAGGGGAAATGGCGCAGGGGAAGTTGAAAGTAAAGACCTCGACTCCAGGGGGGAAGAAGGGGAAGGCTGGGGGGAGTAAGAAGGGCCCTCAGGTGCAGAGGCGAAACAGTAAGTGCATTCTCTTCAAGATGATTTTTATCGGAAATTCAGAAAAGGGAGACGTTCCATTTTCATTTCATTAAAAAATCAAGATATCTCAGAGCTATTCTCAAATAAAATAGAAAAGAAAAAGAAACAGAAATATAAATTTAAAAAATAGACCTTTGTAAACCTTTTTTTACATCGAATTTGAGGATTGCCCTCTCCAGGGAGATTTTCTTTGAGATTTTGATTTTTGGGAAATTTAAAAGAAGGTGAATTTTGTCGGGGGGAAGACTCCGACTACCGTTTTTTCAACTATTTCATTTTGCCCCACTCTCCCCTATTTTTTAAAATTAACTTCTTGGCTTTCCTTGCAGACGCCCCCATAAAACCCAAAAAATCGAAATTCGAGGAGACCCACAAGCTCAAACAGATGATAACAAGAACCGTGAATAGGGCAATGGAGAATGAACTTCGAGATAAAGCCCTGGAGGGAAAGAAATCACTGACGAAAAAGGAGAGTAAACCCTCGACGTCCCAAAAGTCTTGATGTAAGCTCCCCACAATTACCTAATCGATCGTGAAATACACCAAAAAGTTGTAAATGTTCAAACTCAATACATTTATTTATTACTCTTCGATAATAATTTATACATCTCTTACAATAATGCTGCGAAACAATTGGAAACATTTCCTCGTGTTCTCATGGCACTGGAACCAGCAGATTCTGCTGGAGTCCATGCATCTTAATATATTATCTATTATCTCTTTAGTATCCTTCCTCTAAAATCACATTTCACTTATGGGGAGGCGACCTGGGGAAAGAAAATTACAGAAAATACAGTGGATCATCAGTTGAAATTGTCCAGAGAGAAATTAAATAGTTTGGGGAGGATTATTCACCACTAGAAGATGGCCACTTTGTCGATTTTTAGTGATTGCTGGGGTTGTTCCTTTCGTGAACTCGATTGTACCCTCTTTTCCACTGACTAGTTTGTGTGAGACCCTTGAATAGAAAAAATGATAAGAATTATTCAGTTGTGAATTTTTTGAAACATCGACATTTTCACAATTTGATAAATGACCAGTAATTTCACATGTCCAATTGATTTTTTTATCAATTAAAATTTATAAAGAATTGAATAACCCACAAAATCCAAAGAAACTAGGAAACAATATCATTCTTACGATTCCTTATTGACGATATTCAATATCCTCGGGTTATTGGTGATGTCAATAGCCTTGGTGAGGGCCTCGATTATGTGTTCGACCTCAAGAATCAGATCTCCCTGCAAAAAAGTCCATGAAAATTGGAAATTGCTCCTGTATTGCGTACAGTATAGTTATTTTTGCTAATAAATTAGCAATAGCCTTCCGAATGGCCATTTTGCTGATTTTTTTCCGTTGTGTATTACTAGCCTATTTTATTTCCTTGAATTGAATCAATTTCTTTCCAACTAATTGTTTCAGATTTTCCACTTAATGAAATTCTAAAAATTTCTGCAAATTTCTATGAAATATTATTAGGAATATTTCATTTATACATCATTGAATGCATTTGAAACATCAGATTTAAAGGAACCATCAGAAAACTCACTTTCCGGGGAATTAATTAAAAATTCGAAATTTCTAAAAATTATCCTAAAAATCAAATTAACCGAGACAGTTATCGTAAACATCTTCTACCTTCGATATAGTTGCATAGAAACAAACATTTTGAGCTATGATTGAATTCATTTGAAGCGCAATATCCAGAGACATCTGCGGAATTCTGATTTTCGAAAAATACGAAATTTTGGAAAAATTTCACAGAAATCAAAATAACGATTATCGCTTTCATCTTCGACCTCAGTCAAAAGGACATCCCACCGAATTTTTTAAGCCGTCATTCAATGAATTTAGAACATTTTTTTAGTTATCACGTTACAACTCAGTAGTGAAGCGATAAACCGAGACAAGTCGATTTTGACTATTAGCCAGTTTTTGCTGAATATCTCGGAATCTAAGAGAGATAGCAAAATTTTTCTCATGACTTTTTTCATAACGCTCTATTGGCTCTACAAAAAAGGTCATGACAAAAATCTTTCTATCTGTTTTCGATCCCGAGATATTCGTCAAAAACTAGCCAATAATAAAAATCGACTTAACCCGGTTTACCGCTTCGCTACTGAACTGAATTTTGAAAAAATTAAAAAATTAAAAAAATGAATCAATGAATTAAATTTCAATTAATGGCGATGGACAGGGCTCAGCAATACCTACATTTGAGAGAAAAATGATTCAATTCCATCTATTCATGAGTGAGAAATTGAAGAAAAAGTTTGTTACATACACAAATTTACATACAAACGAGCGTACGGACACCGTCTAAAAAATTAATTTTCGGAATTTGGGATCATAATGGGTCGACATAACACAAAAAATCGAAATCTTAAATTTGAACGATTGCAGTGCTTCCATTCGCAGGCAAAAAAAACTACCTTATCTTTTTTAAGCTCCGGGGGGATCCTCACAATCAGCAGATTATCCGACTCCCCAGTAACCACGAGCTCCTGAATGCTCTGATAAGGCAACCGATGCTTGAGCTTCAACGATTTCCCAGTATCGAGAATGTAAACAGCCTTTTCCGTTAGAATCAATACCCTCTCTCGTGGCTTATAGCCATGACGATCGTACTTTATGACAGGTGTAGAGTACTGCAAAACGACAATTTCTAATAATAATTTCCATTCAAGCCGTTGTAATATTCATCTGTGGAGTACCTTGATGGTCTCCCCAGTGGGTAGAACACTAGCAATGAAGTTCTGCTTGAGAGCGGAGAACTCGTTGCCCAGTCTGTCGTCGATGAACCTCGGGCCCACACTCTTGGAGTAAGACTTTTTCTTGTTCTTGAACAGTTTTTCGGAGAGAACCTTCAGGTCAAGTTGCTTCTTGTCCTCTTTGGAGAGTGATGACCGGTAGATGCGGGCTCGGTGCCTCTTGTGGATTTGTTTCAGGTGTTCTGATGCCTTCAGGGGATAATTCAATTTAAGGGGAGACTATGATTTTATCGATTACGTGTGTCTAACAATGAATAATTAATGCAAAAAAACTAATTGTTCATTGTTCATTTACCCCGCAAACGAAAAAAAACTGGAGAATTTTATGCAAAAATGAAAACTTTTCTAGAAAAATCTGGAATTTGGTAGAAAAATCTAGAATTTTAGATGGCGCCACTGCTGATAAGGAACCATAAGGACTTTTTCCCTAAATGCCCTCTCCTTATAACGAAAACATTGACGTATCCACGTCAAAATTTGTTCATTTTCTGCGAACTGAATAAAACGAGTTGGAGATGATCCGAAGAGGACAAATAACTTTAATAAATGTTCCATTCACTTCACTCGTTCCTCTTTCCTCTGGATTTTCCCCTCAAAAAAATTATAATTAAAATTCCTAACAATGGGAAAATACCTCTCGACAAGCGTAAGGACAAGGCGGCCAATGATCATTGAGGACTCCTCTAGGCAGTGATCGAGAGAGCCTGAGGAGCCACTGAGATTTTGCCAACTCGGTGAAGGCGGCATTGACATCCGTGGGAGGACCATTCCTCGTGATGAAGCCCTCGATGAACCTCCTTATCGTCACCACCGCTCTTCTCCTTCTCTCAGCCTCCCTCTTCGCCCTCCAACGTCTCACGTACTTCTGGAGAATTATAGCCGCGCACTTCATTCTCACGTATTTTTGTCTCTGCACTCTGCCCTTCCATTTGCTCTGGATTATCGCTGCAATGTCGTTCTTTTTTCGTTGGAAGGCGTCCTCAGTTGAGAAGAGAGTCTTTGGGAAGCGGATGAATAATTTTGTGCTATAAAAAGATTTTCTTCAGACATTGAACTGTACGTAGAGAGGAAAATTGAGGAATCGGTGGATTTTGAAAAATTGAGTTGTAGTTTTCAATGAATATCTCGGAATCTAAGGGAGATAGCATAATTTTTATTATAACCTTTTTAGGAGCACTCAATTCGCTCTACAAAAAAGGTTATTATGAAAATTTCGCTATCTCACGAATATTCGGGGCCCCAGTCGTCAACGTAAATCAAGCTTAATACTTATTTTGTATCATCTTGTCATTTCTACGTAATTCTGCCGTCTGGACAATTATGAGTTAGTTTCAATGAATAAAACACCTCTTTTTCTACCAAGTAAAATACCGGACTCCAGTCCAGAACCCAGGATTCATCCCCAGCATAAAACTGAATACCAATTCAGTAGCGAAGTGGTAAAACGGTACAAGTCAATTTTGACTATTGGCCAGTTTTCAATGAATATCTCGGAATCTAAGGGAGATAGCAAAATTTTTATTATAACCTTTTTTGTAGAGCCGATTGAGAGCTACAACAAATATAATTACGAAAATTTCGCTATCTCCCTTAGATTTGGAAATATTCCTCAAAAACTCAACGGGAGATGGGAGATGACTCGACTTAAACCGTTTGGCCACTTCGCTGCTGATTTCATTCAAGAGAGTCTACTCACTTTCCCATTTGGTATTCATTCTCCGAATACTTGAGGTGAGAAACTAGAACTTGAACCCCGTCCTTGGCACTTCCTCGATAGGACGGCCAGGTTTTGGGGCAGAGGGACTTGTATCTCTGCAAAAATTGCTCGTAAGGTCTTCTGTAGGCGAAACCAGCTCGCCTGACCCTCAGATTCTCCATCAGGCCCAAGTACTTGACTTGGTGAAGAACGATTTTCTCGTTAAATTGCCCTGAAAGCCAAACAATTCGCATTATATTCTCGTGAATGGTTTCAAGGACTCGAGAGATTTCTGTCGCCGATGATTCACACCTGAAATTTTAAAGTCATTCGGCTTGATGCATCGAATGTACGAGGGCTCCTTTCCCATGAGAATATCCACGAGGTTGTTGAGACTATTTTTGAATTGAGTTACAGCTGTATCTGGACGTTTTTTACTCGTCAGGTCCTTGACATCAAAAATAGCGTGGGTTATTGAGTTTGATGTGTGAGACATGACTTCTCGGAGATCTCTGAAGAGGAGATCGTTATTTTTCTCGAGAAAACCGCGAACGTTGTAGGTGACATCACCGGCGTAATGAACTAGTCGAAATTCCTGAGGAGAAATGACGAAAGTAGTTGAGATTTCGATCCAAAGAAATCCATCGATTGAAGACATTTCAGTCGACTCATCTCGCAGTTGAGTTTTTGATGAATATCTCAGAACTTAAGAGAGATAGCAAAATTTTTCTCATAACCTTTTTTGTAGCACCAATTAAGGGCTATAAAAAGTTCATGACAAAAATTTTTCTATCTCTTTTAGATTCCGAGATATTCGTCAAAAACTGGCCAATAGTCAAAATCGACTGCTGAATTTTCTTGGCAGAAGTAAGACTTGTTTGAGAACTTTGTCGTTTTTTTCTCTCAGTGTACAATCTTTCTTACGTCTCTCCCCATGATCTTTTGCGTCTGAATGTCAGCCTTCATGTGACTGATGTAGTGAGGATGGCTCCCCAGATTGGAGTTCAACTTCTCCAAGAAACTCAGGTCCGTTGGATCCCCTGGACGCAAGCACTCCTCATCCATCAGGGAGATTATTCCCTTGTACTTCTCCTCGATGAGATCGCAGATGACTTTGTTGTTGAAAAACTCGACGTGCTCCCAGGTGATGCCCTCCTTCTGGTACTCCTCCTGTTCGGACTTGAGGGTCAACTGGATGAACAGCTGTTGGAGTTTCTCGTTGCAGTAGTTGATGCAGAATTGCTCAAAGCTGAAAAAGGAAGAGTGAGTTAATGAATATCTCGGAATCTAAGGGAGATAGCAAAATTTTCGCCACGACCTTTTTTGTAGAGCCAATTAAGGTTTACAAAAAAGGTCATAACGAAAATTTTTCCATCTCCTTTAGATTCCGAGATATTCGCTAAAAACTGGCGGGTCGTCAAAAGCAATGCTTGCTTGTTTTGCTCAAGTCAATGACTTGATGGAGCCCTCGGTCGGGGTCTCGACGTTTGCTCACCTATTCTTCTGGAATATTTCGAAGCCGTAAATATCGAGAATTCCGATTACGCCGTTCTCCCGGCTCAGCTCGGGCTGGAGGGATTTATTTAGTCTGGCCACTAGCCACGTGAACAAACGATCGTAAACAGCTTTGGCCAGTGCGTCCCTAGCGTAAATAGCCAATTCACGGTTCAAGGGGGAGATTACCACGTCTCCACGAGCATCTATTGTCCTGTGGGTGAAGGCTTTTGCTAATTTTTTTACGTCGCAACCCAACAACTGCAAATGGAAGACGAAAAGATTGAACGAAAGAGCGAAATCAGGGGGGAAGAGAATGTTATCTCCGAATTTAATGTAAACAAAAACTATTGCTTCTTTAATGTGAAATTCATCAACTAGTTGTTGAAAAAATGAATTAATTTGTTGAGTTGGTGAATGTCAACTAGTTGGTGAAATTTAACAAGTAATTCATTAAAATTCAGAAAAGATTTTTCAATTTCATTCGATCAATTTTGACGGTTAGAAAATATCTTCGCAATAATCTACAATTCGTATTTAAATTTGATCCATCAAATAAATCGACGAACGTTTATTGAAAATTTGACAAATGGTTCGAGTGAAACTGAAAAATCTCTCGCCCTCGAGAGAATTTCAACTAAATAGTTGTTAAATTCCACCAATCAGTTGTTTAAAATTCTACCAATTAGTTGTTGAAATCCACCGAATAATTTGCTCCGTCAAGCCCTAAACCGGCTCAAGTCGATTTTGACGACCCGCCAGTTTTTAGCGAATATCTCGGAATCTAAAGGAGATAGAAAAATTTTCGTCATGACCTTTTTTGTAAACCTTAATTGGCTCTACAAAAAAGATCATGACAAAAATTTCGCTATCTCCCTTAGATTCCGAGATATTCATCAAAAACTGTCAAAAAATCAAAATCGACTTGACCAGTAGCGAATCGGTTTACCGCTTCGCTACTGAATTATCCTCTTCAATTAATGAATTCGATTGAAGAGTCTTTACCGAAGCAACAGCTTCCACCGACGCAGGCTTGAGGATCTGGGCGACTCCCTCTTCCTCAGTGAAGCCCACATTTCCCATGTGAAGAACTGACGCGACGATTGCGAACAAATCGTCCTGCTCGCTCTGTTCCAACTCCACCGTCTTCATGGCCTCTAGCACCTGCTTGTACTGCCCCACGTCGTCAATAGTGTCGACAGTGCCTTTTGTTCCATTACTGATGTAGAAATAGGTGTCCAAATTACGCTTGAGGAAGAGCTTCCTGAGGGTTTCGTCGTCCGCTCCAGCCAAGAGCTGATAGAAAATGTGGAAATTCCGTTCTCCGGAGGATTGATGCACCACCCGAGACTTCTCCAAGAGGTAGTTGAGGATGTTGCCACCCACGGGGTTCCCCTGGAGACGAAAATTCAGCAGCCAAGTGGTAAAGCGGTTCAAGTCGACTCGGCTCTAATCTGAGTTTTCGAGGAATATCTCCGAATCTAAGGCAGATATCGAAATTTTCGTAATGACCTTTTTTGTAGAGCGCTTTGAGTGCCACAGAAAAGCTCCTGTCAAAAATTTTGCTATCTCCCTTAGATTCCGAGATATTCACTGAAAACTGGCAAATGGTCAAAATCGAATTAAACTATTTTACCACTTTTTTTTATTGAATTCAATTTGGTTTGGGCTCTTCGTGGAGATGATGAGGGGGATACTCACGTAGAAATCGAACTGGATGTCCATGTATTTTCCGAACCTCGAGGAGTTGTCGTTTCTGTTGGTCTTGGCATTGCCGAAGGCTTCCAGCACTGGGTTGGAGCCTATGAGCTTGCCGCTCACAGCGTCGACCTTCTTCTTGTGCCCGGTCGCCGCCGCGATGAACTGGAGGACCTTCTTCGAGGCCTCTGTCTTACCAGATCCCGATTCGCCGGAGATCAGGATGCACTGATCGCGGTTTTCTTTTGCTAGAGACCTTCAGTTTTCAAAATTCATCATTCGAGACTTTAGTTTTGATATCGGGTGGGGGAAAGGATTTCAGCATTTTCGAGAAGAATATTTTCATCTTGTTTGAGATAATTACTTTGGAATGACTTTACTCATACATTGAAGATCGATTATACGTCCAGATTTTTTCAATTTTTCATGAAAAAATGTGGACAGTAACAATTACGAATTATTTTTTTGGAATTTAACTTCTATACAACTAATTTCGTTATTTTTTAAATGAAATATTGCACCACTCATGTAAAATAGCCCGGAAAATGTTCCTGAGAGAATCAAGAATATATTTTCAATATTGTAAGGATAATTTTTCTGCCTATTTTACATGAATGGCGCAAATTTGCATTCTAAACAATGCGGAATTAGCTGTGTAGGAGTCGAATTTCAAAAAACTAATTTGTAATTGTTATCGCACACATTTTTTCAAAAATTTTGCAAAAAATTGCAGGCGTCTTTCCTCGTTTCTCGAATTTTATAGAAACTCCTTGAATCCCCTCGAATTTTCTAGAAACTCCCTGAATTTCCTCGAAATGTCTAGAATTTTCTAGAATTCCGATAGATGGCGCTGCGCATAAGGACCGTTTCCCAAAACGACCCCCATGTTGAAACCATAGACGTATCCACGTCAAAAAAGAAACCTCTGTAGCTCAAAAATTGGACACCCCGAACTATTCTCAACATTTTAACCGTGTGCGGGGCAAACGAACAATAAACAATTAATTTTTTGCACTAATTATTCGTTTTTAAACTCACAGTAGTCTCCCCTGCAAGTCGACTTTAAAAATCCCAGACTCACTTCAGGGAGTGAAAAAAAATCTGAAATGCGGGAAAACCATTGCCCCATTAATGCTCAGCCGAAAGGGGATGGAAAAATATGACCAATGGCTTAAAAAAAATGTTCATTTTGCAGAATTTGGGTGCAGCGATTTGAGGGTGATGTGAAAAGCCAAAAAATGTTGATGAATGTTTAATAATACGAGGTGGATGCGCCGCCATCTTTGAAGCGCCATCTTTTGACGCTGCAGAATCCGTGTGGAAAAAACTCAGAAAATTGATGCCCAAGTATTCTTATAGACAAAATCTCAAGAGAAAAATTGAGACAGAAATTCGAAATCTTTGACTTTTTCTTATCGAATATCCAATAGAATCGGCGCAAAAAACAAACAGAATTTTTCAAAAGAATTCCAATAGAAATCCTGTAGAAACCCCATAGAATTCCTATAGAATTCCAATAGAATTTTCTAGCGAATTCACTAGGTTTTCTATTGAATTTTTTCATACGTGACTTTCAAATAATTTCCTCCAGTTCCAGTTCGAGCAACAAATTCTTCAAGCTATCCTCCACTCGTCGCTCAAAGTTTCCCCCGCACTTGAGTATTTTTTTCCCCTCCCGAGGCCGCCCAGACCGAATGAAAATTCTCACCGATACGCAGTATCTGCAAGTGCAAAAATGTGCGGTGGAGCTTCAAAAAAATTCCTCCCCTCGTAATAATGTATCGTTGACTCATTGTAAATCGGCAGACTCTTGTACGGATTTACCGACACCAGTACTTGACCAATGTATGTGTAGATAAGATTCTCCTTGAATCTTTTTCTCAAGTTATCGATAAATGCCGTTTCGCTGTTGAAATCCTCGAGCAGTACAAAATCCTGAACACCAACTCTGTTACGCTCGTGTAAATCCTGCTCCATGATTCCAGCCGTTAGGATTTCCGATTTTTCACGTGATTTCTGGTCTCTGGGAAGTGAAATATCAGACGATATTAAACGAGTCGGGGCACTTTCTAACGGTCAACACTTGATTTTTAAAATATTGCTATCGAATTCACTCTCGTTGACATTTATTCCGTTTTACTTCGCAAAAGGGAGTTAGTCACGTGGAAAATTATTAATCCGGTGAATTGGCCTCGTCACAAAGACGATAAACGTTAGATTAGATTATAGGCTGTCCTCAGGTGGAATTCCAGCAGTAAAACCCATTAAAGCCCTTCAATACAGCGCTATTCCGGCTATTGGGACTTACCCCATCTCTCAATTTTCAGAGACCCAATTACCCTGTCGATAAATTACAATTGAATTAAGAAATAAATGTTACAGCCCCAGCTATTGATCCCCGATAATCACTGTACGACTGTTCTTCCCACTCTGACTTTGTTATTTGTGTGTCAAATGAATTCTCGATCCACACATCGACTTCTAGATAAGATTAAATTATCTTTGATCTTATTGTTTCAGTGGATTTTTTTTGATTCTCCACTTTCTCGTTTTTCTTTTTCTGCATCTATTTTCGTCACTTGTTCTCTGTCACCCCTCAGTCTCTGGCGAAAGGAAGTGGAAATGAGAAACTAAAAATTATATCCAGTGCTTTTTTTGATGATGATTTTATATAAATTTCACATTTAAATTCTCAATACTCCTTCTAAAAATTGATAGTGCTCTATTCCTCAGAATATTCGTCAGCGGAAAATTCAATTTAGGGGATATTTAAGTGAAGGAGAGTCAAGTCATCATATGTACAAATGTTTTTAGAGTGCGAAAGAGTTTGTACTTTACTTGAAAACATTTGTACACCCTTAGATGCGCCTGAGACAAATCTTCCGCTAGTTTCGTGATTTGCCGCGGGGATTCCCCGCCGTGCTAGTTAGGCTTCAGCGTTGCCGAATTCACTCTACGCTGCCCGGGCGCGTTTAGCGGGTTTCCGGCAACGTCGCGTCGCGGAAATTTCATGGGAAAAAATAATTCATCTGTCCGAAATAATTTGTCTTCTTTAGGAATTTTGGGAAATATTTCCGTGTGAGCCTCGAAATCGATAGGACTTATTATCCCCCCGCAAACAAATCCGTACAAAACAATGTTAGAGTGTTGATCCTAATTGGATTCAATATTTGGTGTTAAGAAGGGGAGACAGATAACGGGAAGCGCGCACTCACGGGGAAGACTGCGCATTGTTCATTGTACCCGAGTTACTTCCGCTTTTTTTCAAATGAAAACCGAAAGAGAAGGAGTCGGCGGAGGAGGAAATCCTCATGTTATTTTCATGATTTTACTTTCTCGCTGTTTTCGGGGGGCCGTGGGGAGCTCTTTGTTTCGCTCTGACACCTGTTCCCCCGTGACATTTAGCCTCTCCACTTGATTAAGAAATTCAAGACTTTGTTGCGCCGTTCTGTCTACTCTGTACGCATCCAGTGTCCGCAATTAATTGGACATTTGAAGCGGCATTGGGAATTCAAATACGAGAATGGAATTTGTAATGTACCGTAGGAGGCCCTGAACTTGAATCATTCAAGACGCCCATGAGGTTTTGATGGGACTCAAGGCCACCGAAATATTCGAGGAGAAAACCCGCCACTATTCTCAACCGGTTATTTTTTCGACACGCTACGTCTAATTTCTCCGTCTTTGTTTGGTATCCCTCGTTTTTTTAGGAGTGACGGCTCATTGGGGACCGGACAATTCGCGGAAGATGATTGATGGAGAGGATCGATCGGCTTTTTTTCGCGCAAAAAATAACTTTCAGTGTGAAATACAACGGAAAGTGATCGTGTTTTTTAAAAAAACTCTTCCGAGAAGATCGCTCCAACGAAGGCGGACGAAACCCTTCAGGGAATTTTTGTGTAAAAAATCAAGAGAGGGCATTAACTTTATTGTTGAAATGGCCTGAGTGCTACATTTTACGACCCAATGATTTGCCATTTTCTCTTTTTTCCGTACATTCAACCTCAACAATAGCTAAACCACAGAGTACTTGAGTGAGATTGTGAGGGGGAGCGTAAAACCCACCGGTAACTCGAAAAATATTCATAAATTTCTTGTGAATATTTTTTTCCGCCTCTTGTTGGAAAGAAATATTGCCACTTGTGAGTCACGAGTTTCCCTTGACAGTTTCGTCATTCATAATGATGGGAATTTGATAAGAATTATCAGGAATTGCTAATGTCGGAAAACTGGCGGCTAGACAAGTGTTTTCGCTGCGGGTAGAGCACTTTAAATGACTTGAAGCGCAGACATTCAGCCGGAAAAATTTAAACGACCGCCGATGAGCCCTCAAATAGCTTCGATGATGATTAATTAACAGAACAAGTCGGTTTTAGCGAGAAAGAAAGCCATTGAGGGGGAAAAATACCGAGGAAAGTGAAGATTCGCGGAATAAAAATCAAAAGTGAGATGAAGATCTCGTAACTCGGCCAAGCAGCCGTGACTCACGCTCCAGATGCACTCGAATGTATCAATTGAACACCGCAAATCCTTAAATAAGAGTGATAAAGACTTTCACGCCGATGGTACTCACCCAACGTCTGTCACTGAATATTCCCAAGTAAAAACCTAAATCACTGGCAAGCCATTTGGCCCCGGGGACCCGGCGAACGCGTGTGTGCAAACTGATGGAGTCGAAGCGTCAAAGAAAATTTTCTTTTTTTTTTTAAAACACCACTGGTTGTGTGCCTGAACCATGCCACGACGTGACTAACACGGGAGAGTAACGGAGTCGACCATGGAGTAGGCCCCACTCTCTCTCTTCAACCGTCCCACGAGGACGAATTCGTTGGAAGGAGAAGGAGGATCGACCCCTCAATACCCATCCCACCGGTGACTATTGTAATAGCCGACGTAGCTTGAAAACCCTCAAGTGCATTTGTCCCTCGCGAAGAAACAAATTTTCCGGTTTTAAGAGGGAAGAAAGGAGAGAAGAAAGTTGGGGAGAAAATGCCTTCCGGTAATTTTCATTGAGAGGTTTTTATCTGGGGTGAAAGTCACCCTGTGACAGCAATCGGAAGAATTGTCGGGGAGATTACGATTTGGCGCCGCATTTTCCCCGGGAGTACGGGGAAAGTAACGGGAAAATTCCCTCTCAATTAGCTTTTGGGATATGAGCATTTCAGGAGTGAAGCGGTAAACCGAGTTAAGTCGATTTTCACTATTAGCCAGTTTTTGCTGAATATCTCGGAATCTAAGAGAGATAGCAAAATTTTTCTCACGACTTTTTTCATAACGCTCTATTGGCTCTACAAAAAAGGTCATGACAAAAATCTTTCTATCTCTTTTAGATTCCGAGATATTCGTCAAAAACTAGCCAATAGTAAAAAACGACTTAACCCGGTTTACCGCTTCGCTACTGATTTCATTCCTTATTTTTCAGGATACGAACATTTCGATAATGATTCGTGTAGGTACTTGACATACCAATTCATCTACTCACATTCCCACATTTGAATTCAATGATTATATTTACAACATCAAAACAACAAAAGACAATTTTAATGGAAATTTTTTTGAGATTTTTTTTATTGATTTTTTTTTCTGAAAAAATTACAACAACAGTCGCAAAAATTCAGTCAACAAAATATGCGACACAAGAATTTTCAGTCAAAAACGCATTCAACCAAGGCAGTGTCACCCTTGTGACCCTCGTGACCCTAGCGACTCTTTTTTTTAGGTGACTTAAAACCGGAAAATACACTTACTATATGTGTTTTTCATTTAAAAACAGTTTATTGGAGTTTTATCGGAGATATTTTTCTGTGACTCGTGTAGATGTAAAACTAACGGTAGTATCAGGGACATAAAGTATTTCTATTCTATTCTATTCTATTCTATTCATTAAAAAAATAATTCAGAAGAATAATTTATGCTCCCTGATTTTTTAATAGGACTATGGGTGGATGGAATAATTCAGAGGCGTTGTTTCCGCATTAACGAAGTTTACAACAAACCGATCGAATCGAGGGAGTGAGGGGGTTGTCCGGAGGGTCAAGTCCAGCCAACTACCCCCTGGTCAGTCTATCGCGCGCGTTCAACCTGTAACGTACTTGCCACTGTCACGCGCCAACCACCTGGAATGATTCCATCTGCAATATCAACGTGAGTTAAAGAGGGTTATCAGTGCGTTTTACAATTTTTAAAGTAGTCATTCGTTCCTCGTTCAACGCAAATGCCTATTTTTGATTATTTTACATTGACAGAATATTTTCAGCGATTTATAAAATTGCAGGCAATCCCCCAATGGTTTTCCACAACCGTTAGAGAAAAAAAATCAATTGCAGAAGTGAATTATTAGAATTAAACAAAAAATTACTGTAATTGCAGGAATTAATTGACAGTTATTAATTTACAGTTATTTAATTTTTGATAATTTATTTTAAATGATTTAAATGAATGATTTGAAATTCATGATTTATGAATTTCACGCGAAAAGTTTCGGGGTAAATTCTGATGAATTGTTTATCGGGGACTTTTTTCATTAGAATATTTTTTTTGGGGATTTTCTTCTGTAATTATAAAATTACAGGCAATCCCCCAATGGTTTGCCACAACCGTTAGAGAAAAAAAACCAATTGCAGAAGTGAATTATTAGAATTTAAAAAAAATTACTGTAATTACAGGAATTAATTGACAGTTATTAATTTACAGTTATTTAATTTTTGATAATTTATTTTAAATCATTTAAATTGAATGATTTGAAATTCACGATTTATGAATTTCACGCGAAAAGTTCCGGGGTAAATTCAGATGAATTGTTTATCGGGGACTTTTTTCATTAGAATATTTTTTTGGGGGATTTTCTTCTGTAATTATAAAATTACAGGCAATCCCCCAATGGTTTTCTACAACCGTTAGAGAAAAAAAACCAATTGCAGAAGTGAATTATTAGAATTAAACAAAAAATTACTGTAATTACAGGAATTAATTGACAGTTATTAATTTACAGTTATTTAATTTTTGATAATTTATTTTAAATCATTTAAATTGAATGATTTGAAATTCACGATTTATGAATTTCACGCGAAAAGTTCCGGGGTAAATTCAGATGAATTGTTTATCGGGGACTTTTTTCATTAGAATATTTTTTTTTGGGATTTTCTTCTGCAAAAAATAATGAGTGAACTGCAGACGGTGTGACGGACATTTTTATGGTCGTAAAAAGTGTTCAATGTCTCGTAAATAGAAATCTGGATGCAGATAGTATATGTAAACAAATAATCGAAACTATTCAATTGAGGGATTTGTCGGGCATTAGTTCTTGCAGGGTTGCAAAAATCAATAATAAATATCCGTGTTTTGAAATTCGTAATAACAAGTTTTTCCGCGGTCACCATTACAATCGATTCTGCTTATTTATTATCGGTTACTCATTAAATGTAATAGTTAACAGCCGAGACTGATGGCATAAGTTGTGCTGGAGTAAACATAATTGTGAAATAACGAGTTTAGCCAGTCGAAAAGTTCAGCAGGAGAAACATTAATTTGAAATTACCTCTGAATTTTAGTGAGCGGGAAGCGAATTCATCTTCAAAAATATTTACCGAAATTTTTAGTTAAAAACGTAATGGGTTTCGTGAAAATTTAAAAACTTGAAATCGAATTAGAATTTTTACTGGAATTACTGATTGAAATGAATTCGAATGTTTACTGGAATTATATCAGTAGTGAAGCGGTAAACCGAGTTAAGTCGATTTTTACTATTAGCCAGTTTTTGCTGAATATCTCGGAATCAAAGAGAGATAGCAAAATTTTTCTCATGACTTTTTTTATAACGCTCTATTGGCTCTACAAAAAAGGTCATGACAAAAATCTTTCTATCTCTTTTAGATTCCGAGATATTCGTCAAAAACTAGCCAATAGTAAAAATCGACTTAACCCGGTTTACCGCTTCGCTACTGATATTATTTTTTAGTTGAGTTCTGGTGAAAATTCCGGTGATTTTCCACGATTGGATTACCAAAATCCAGAGATCATTTTCAGTTTTTTGTCAAATTTTTTATGAATAACTCGGAATCTAAGAGAAATATCAAAATTTTTCTCATGACCTTTTTTATAGCCCTCAATTGGCTCTACGAAAGTGGTCATGTGACAATTTAAATGACGATATCAAAATTGTAATTTGTCTAAAAAAATTGGAGAATTTTCTCAAATTTTCTAGAAAAACCTAGAATTTGCTGAAAAAAAAATCCGATAGGTGGCGCCACTGCGGATAAGGACCCATAAGGACTTCGTCCCTAAATGCCCCGTCAAAAAACCTATCCATCTCGCTCCGAAACGAGATAATAATGCATTAACGAATCTAATCAGTCCCAGCGAACCAGAAATCACGGGATGGTGCTGCTGAAGAGTCCCCCACCGGGTCGAAAGAGCCAAAACAATCCCCGAAGATCGCGCGGCAACAGCCCTAGCGACGATGTCAAGTCCCGTGGCAACAGTCCGTCGAAACCCGGGGGCTCATCAACCCGAAAATCAACACTTCGTGCTTCCAGAAGCGAGTGAGTACTCATCCTGACACCCTACCACCCCAAAAAACCCTATCCATCGATAACCAGAAGATAAAACCGAAATAGAAATAAACGACACGTGTCTGCTAGATCTAGGCCGATGAGTCGCTCCTGGAAGTCCCCACGTAATTTAAAAAAATTATCACCTCTACTTGTTAATCGATCACTTGTATTTGTCAATCGAAAATTTTTTCCCGCACCATCTGTGTGCACTATCGCGGTGAAAATAGGTGAAAATAAAATAATGGAGGGAAAATATTGTCAAGTGTTGTCATGGGAGACGTGATGAGACATCGCGTTAATACGTGGAGAATACACGTATTATCGATCGTTGAGACCTTGTCCGTGTGTGGTGTATGCTTCCGGAAATCGATATTCTAATGTCCAGTCGCCTCAACATATGTGGGAGGAAACGATCGAGCTTTTGTCATCCAGGCGCACGAAGAAATATTTTTGTTGAGGTCTTTTTCGCGTGACGGCTGTTCCATTTCATTCATGAAAGCGCACACGCACGAAAAAATTTGATAGGAAAACCTGTCGAGTTCGTTGGGAAATTCTGTTGAATTTCTATTAAACTTTCTATTAGTTTTTGGCTGATTCTATTGACATGTTCAATAGAAAAAATCAACAGAATTCGATTTTCCTATGTAACTTATTCTTTTCATATATTTTCTGTAGAATTTGCTCGACTCAAATTTTCCAAGTTTTTTTCGTTCTACTTTTCTTTTCTTCTCATCAAGAAAATCAAACGAAAAAAATTGGAAAATTTGAGCCGAGGAAATTCTATAGAAATATCTCAATGAAATAAGTTGTATAGAAAAATTGAATTCTATTGGCTTTTTCTACTGAATATTTTCTGGTATAGAATATAATATAACATAGCATTATCGTAATATCTTTAATGTATCTTTTCATATATTTTCTGTAGAATTTGCTCGACTCAAATTTTCCAAGTTTTTTTCGTTCTACTTTTCTTTTCTTCTCATCAAGAAAATCAAACGAAAAAAATTGGAAAATTTGAGCCGAGGAAATTCTATAGAAATATCTCAATGAAATAAGTTGTATAGAAAAATTGAATTCTATTGGCTTTTTCTACTGAATATTTTCTGGTATAGAATATAATATAACATAGCATTATCGTAATATCTTTAATGTATCTTTTCATATATTTTCTGTAGAATTTGCTCGACTCAAATTTTCCAAGTTTTTTTCGTTCTACTTTTCTTTTCTTCTCATCAAGAAAATCAAACGAAAAAAATTGGAAAATTTGAGCCGAGGAAATTCTATAGAAATATCTCAATGAAATAAGTTGTATAGAAAAATTGAATTCTATTGGCTTTTTCTACTGAATATTTTCTGGTATAGAATATAATATAACATAGCATTATCGTAATATCTTTAATGTATCTTTTCATATATTTTCTGTAGAATTTGCTCGACTCAAATTTTCCAAGTTTTTTTCGTTCTACTTTTCTTTTCTTCTCATCAAGAAAATCAAACGAAAAAAATTGGAAAATTTGAGCCGAGGAAATTCTATAGAAAATATTTGAATGGAATAAGTTGTATAGAAAAATTGAATTCTATTGGCTTTTTCTACTGAATATTTTCTGGTATAGAATATAATATAACATAGCATTATCGTAATATCTTTAATGTATCTTTTCATATATTTTCTGTAGAATTTGCTCGACTCAAATTTTCCAAGTTTTTTTCGTTCTACTTTTCTTTTCTTCTCATCAAGAAAATCAAACGAAAAAAATTGGAAAATTTGAGCCGAGGAAATTCTATAGAAAATATCTGAATGGAATAAGTTGTATAGAAAAATTGAATTCTATTGGCTTTTTCTACTGAATATTTTCTAGTATAGAATATAATATAACATAGCATTATCGTAATATCTTTAATGTATGCTATCGTCATTTATAAAGAATCTAATGACACAATACGCCGAATAGATTGGCTTCACAAAACGTTACACTGGATTTTCGATTAAAGGATTTTTACTGTTATTCTAGTTTACCACTTCGCTGCAGAATTTTTTCGAACGTGATCTTGGTTGTTTTCTTTTATTTTGATAATCTGGAATGATCTCCAATTGCTATTCAGTTTTACATAACGATTGTACAATCAAAAAAACGTTGAAAAAAAGCTGAACATTATCACAGAGCGTTTTTTAATAATATTGGGAAACAAACCCAATAGGGAGGAAATTGCAAATTAATAATTTGATGTATCCAATGGCTGTTAAGTCGTCATTTCCCACAGTAGTCAATGGCTGTTAGATCCTTAGTTACCCTGATAAATTATCCATTCACTATTTCCTCTCTATCGGACTTACTTCTTAATCTTTATTAAAAACGCTCTTTGAAAATGTTCAGTTTTTTTCTCCTTTTTTTTATTGCACAATCATAATTTTTAGGGACTCCTGTGTGATGTAAAATCCAATGTAAATTGTGATCTATTTTCCATTATGAAGATGGATCATATTTATTATATTTCGATCGTGATCTCGATTGTTTTTTTCATTTTGATAATCTGAAATGATCTCCAATTGCTATTCAGTTTTACATAGCCCTGGAGTCTCCAAAAATTACGATTATACAATCAAAAGAACGTTGAAAAAAAGCTGAACATTATCAAAGAGCGTTTTTTAATAATATTGGGAAACAAACCCAATAGGGAGGAAATTGCAAATTAATAATTTTATGTATCTAGTGGCAGTCAGATCGTTAGTTACCATAATAAATTATCAATTCACTATGTCCTCTCTATCGCCACTTATTTCTTAAAAACACAATTTTTAGGGACTCCAGTGTAATCTAAAATCCAATGGAAATAGATCACTATTTCCATTGGACAATACACACGATATGAAGATGGCAAATAATCGAGATAGCGTTGGAATCATAATCCACCCGACCCTTAAAGTATATTATTCTCCCACGGAAAATTGTCATCGAGCCGTCCCCTGACATTTTAATCACTCCGCAAGTGCCTGAAGACCCACCCCTATTCGAAAAAAACTTCAGGTATCGGCATGTGACCTTTGAAACAGACTGATAACGACATTTCTCCCAATACTACTTCGTAATAACATTCATTTGACGTGACAAATAGTTTCATGACGATTACGAGACATCTAATTCCCTAATGGCCGTGGCGAGATACCCATCTGTAACCCTGGGGGAAAAATGCTCATAAAAATAAACAAATAGTCATAGTTTTCCCCGCTATTTGGACACCTGCTGATGTGCGTGACCCGTTGTCTCTCAATTCCCCATGAAAACTTTTGAGTTTTAATTCAATAAAATCGAGCTATTTTAATTGGGGGAAATCCCTGCCCCCAAAATACGTAACAAATTTTTGATGAAGGTCGAGTGAGGGAGTCATGGGGCGAGGGATTGAAGCACGCGATTGTCTAGCTTCCAATAAATAATGGAGAGATACTTATTGACTCAAGATTGACGTAAATCAATGTCTGCAGGCGTTTAAACAGCCAACGGAAGAGAGAATTATTTTTTAATGAGGGGAAGAGGCTATTATCCCAGGTAAATAGAGAATTAATGGCTCTTGTTTCCCTCGTAACTGGAGAAATTGCGCATTCCGGTGATTATTCACGAGACCATTTCGCTTCATTAACCCGTCGGAATAGCTTGCGGGAGAGATTGGAAATCCTTTAGTTGAGGGAAAAGTTCAATCAGGGGATTCGCTAATGATTTTTCGAGGTGAGCGGTAGGTTCAACGTACAGCGAGCGATTTTTCGTGAGGCGAGTCGAAAATAGTCCCGGTGGAGGACGCAAATAGAAATTTTTTATTTTTCTCATTTTTTTTCTGAAATCATTCGGAAAGTCTTCGAGTCAAGCGTTTTGTTGGGGTATTTGTGGGGCGTTGGGTTGAGGAACGATACAAGGACGTTCGGTTTATCGATTCCGGGGATTTCTAGTCGCTTTTGTACACCCCCTGTTCCGTTGAATCATGCAAAATGGACAAATTTGCAGACAAAATCTTGGCATGATTACGATTCCTTTGGCGACACGATTTAACTTATGTTTTCCGTACCATTTTTCCCCGGGATTGCGGGAACAGTAATGAAAAAATTTCGTGTCCGTTATTTCTCCTGAATTATAGAGATTCTTCACAGAAGACGGAGGTTTATATAGCGTTCCACATCTTGTGGCGTCACTGCTGTGGCTGTCACCTGTGGCGATATTGCTGGATAGGATTTTGAAGTTGGTATGAGGGGAACCAGGATAATTCTCAATATTAGTTGACAAGACAAATTTACTGAAAAAATTCGGAAGTCCAGACTGAGATTTGAACCTTCCGATTATGTATCAGGTGCTCTCCCAACTGGAGGTACGGTCACAAGGGTCACAAAAAAGGAGTCACTGAGGTCACGAAGTCACAAGAGTCACATAAAAAAAAGGAGTCGCTAGGGTCACGAGGGTCACAAGGGTGACACTGCCTCGGTTGAATGCGTTTCTGACTGAAAATTCTTTTGTTGCAGATTTTGTTGACTGAATTTTTGCGACTGTTGTTGCAATTTTTGCAGAAACAAAAATCAATCAAAAAAATCTCCAACAGAAAAATTTCCATTAAAATTGAGTTTTGTTGTTTTGATGTTGTAAATATAATCATTGAATTCAAATGTGGGAATGTGAGTGCATGAATTGGTATGTCAAGTACCTATACGAAGCTTTATGGAAATGTTCGTGTCTTGAAAAATAAGGATTGAAATGGTTATATCCCGAAAACTGATTGAGAGGGAATTTTTTCTTTATTTTTCCCGTATTCCTGAGGAAAAATGGTACGGAAAAGTCAAATAGCGGAGCCAAAGGGATCGTAATCCTCCCGTCGTGGGGGTCAGAATTTATGGAAAAAAAATTTCCCATTCGTCCCATTCGTTCGTTTGTGATTTTTTCCCTTTTAAAAATCACAAATGCTGTTTTTCCAAAAAGGAACGGAAGTATAGAACGCTTGACCGAGGGGGACAAGAGGGTGATAGCTTCCAAGCACCTCCTCCCAGAGGACAACATTAACGTGGTGATCCGGGTTAGACCTCTGAGTCAGAAAGAGAAGAAAGCGGGCGATGAGTCGGCCGTTCACTTCCCTGGGGATGGGCAGATACAGTGCGAGGTCTTCGTCGGAATTGACAGGAAGCCGAGACTGTTCTCCTATAACGTTGTGTTCGAGCCTGCTGCCAGTCAGGAGGATGTCCTCCAGTATTCCGGGATGAAGAAGCTCATCGAAATGGCTGTCGAGGGCTTCAGCTGCACTGTTTTCTGTTACGGACAGACGGGGAGTGGAAAGACTCACACATTGACTGGCCCCCCTGGTTTGGTAATTCATCATTATTGATTATTAATTTTTACCTTTTTATCTTCATCCCGATGTATTTATCAAAAGACTTTTCGATCGACTTTAACAGTAAAACCTAGTTACCCGGGCCAATTCATTTATTCCACATCTAGTATTCAAAACCATCTTTAAACTGATTTCGTAATGATCGGTATAACATTAGAATTCGAATATCTTCAAAGGTGCCATGTACTACTTTGATGCAAAAACGCATAAGTCGTGGGTTCTTGAGTGGAGTACTGCTGTGGTCCTTTCTTATTCAGTAGCGAAGCGGTAAACCGAGTTAAGTCGATTTAGCCCTTCGCTGAGTTTTCGGGGAATATCTCCGAATTCAAGAGAAATAGCGAAATTTTCATTATAACCTTTTTTGTAGAGCAAACTGAGAGCTACAAAAAAGGTTATTACAAAAAAAATTCTATGTTCCTTAGGTTCCGAGATATTCATTAAAAACTGACCGATAGTCTAAATCGACTTAAACCGGTTTACCGCTTCGCTACTGTATTATATCCATCAGATTTTTTAAATTAAATTTAATGGATAAGGTATTCCTCCTTCAACTCCGTCGTACCTTCTTACGACAATAAATGAAATTAATTTCATATGGCCATACCTTCATTTTTTTGAAGAATTAATAGTATTTTTCCGGCCTGTTGCGATGGGGTTTTTTACTCGTGTGGTTGGCCAGTCCTCGCCTACGGCTCGGAGGCCAACGCGAGGACTGGCCAACCACACGAGTAAAAAAACCCCATCGCAACAGCCCAGGAACAATATTTTGCTGCAGTGATTTTCAAGTTTTCGAGTTTGGGAAGTATGTAATACCAATTCCCAGACGAGAAATCGTGAGAAGCAGTACAGAAAAATTCTTTTCTTTCAATGAGGTAGCCAAGTTCTTAAAGGAACCAACAGTTTCTGGTGAAGAATTCAATCCTCACCAACTCTTGGCGTAACCCAGGACTCACGAGGCGGACGTAGTTGGAGAGTCCCACAAAGAAAATATATAAAAAATTTATTAATTACGTATATTCGAATTTAATCGATGGCCTGTGGTATTGGTGTACCATTGTTTACCAGACGATTTGCAATCACCCTCTGCTTTCAGAATTTATTAATGTTTATATGTCCCTGCTAACTACCATTCACCGACTTTAACATCAAATCCTTCAAGTNCCTCGCCTACGGCTCGGAGGCCAACGCGAGGACTGGCCAACCACACGAGTAAAAAAACCCCATCGCAACAGCCCAGGAACAATATTTTGCTGCAGTGATTTTCAAGTTTTCGAGTTTGGGAAGTATGTAATACCAATTCCCAGACGAGAAATCGTGAGAAGCAGTACAGAAAAATTCTTTTCTTTCAATGAGGTAGCCAAGTTCTTAAAGGAACCAACAGTTTCTGGTGAAGAATTCAATCCTCACCAAATCTTGGCGTAACCCAGGACTCACGAGGCGGACGTAGTTGGAGAGTCCCACAAAGAAAATATATAAAAAATTTATTAATTACGTATATTCGAATTTAATCGATGGCCTGTGGTATTGGTGTACCATTGTTTACCAGACGATTTGCAATCACCCTCTGCTTTCAGAATTTATTAATGTTTATATGTCCCTGCTAACTACCATTCACCGACTTTAACATCAAATCCTTCAAGTAGCTCAGGCGATTAGGAAAGGGACGAGCCAATAGTTAGAATTGTTCTTGTCTTCTAGTTCTCAAACATGAACCCTTACTCGGAAGATCACGGACTCGTCTTCAGGTCCTTCGTTTACCTCTTCAAAATGCTTCAAGAACGGAAAGAGTGTAATTTCGTGCTGAGAGCGTCATTCCTCGAGATTTATAACGAGAAAGTGATTGATCTCTTGAATCCAGGGAGCTCTAGGAAGTCGCTGGCTGTTCGGTGGAGCAAGAAAAGTCGAGGGTTCTTCGTGGAGAATCTGTTCACCGTTGATTGCGAGGAGTTGGACGATCTTTTGGCGGTTTTGGAAGAAGGTAGGACACCCTCAAGGGCTCACGGGATAAAATTAAAATGCAAAATAAAATTACATTTTATTTAAATCAGTAGCGAAGCGGTAAACCGGGTTGAGTCGATTTTTCCTTTTGACCATTTTTTGATGAATATCTCGGAATCTAAGAGAGATAGCAAAATTTTCCTCATGACCTTTTTTGTAACCCTCAGTTGGCTGTACAAAAAAGGTCATGACAACAATTTTTGTATCTCTTTTAGATTCCGAGATATTCGTCAAAAACTGGCCAACAGTTGAAATGTAGAATCAAATTATTTTTTGAAAAATCCCTCGTGACAATTGAAAATTGTTCTCAGGTATGAGGAATCGATCGGTTGGCTCTCACAACATGAACGACCACTCGAGCCGCAGTCACACCATCCTCACGGTTCACATAACGTCGGAACAGCAGGTACCCATCACCGAACAAAATCAAATCAAAGTTACCGAACGATTCAGTCCAGCCCTAATTCGTCTCGTTAATTTTTCAACAGATGGAGAATGGGGTTTTCATTTCTAAACAGGGGAAAATCAATTTCGTCGACCTCGCGGGCAGTGAAATGACCAAGAAGACGCAGAGCGAGGGGAAAACCCTGGAGGAGGCCAACAACATCAACAAGAGCCTGATGGTGCTGGGTAAATCTACAGAATCATTCGCAAACTATTTTTGCCCTTTTTTTCTCGCTTCCTGATGATGGGAAAATTGTTTCAGGGTATTGCATATCTTCCTTGAGTGATGGCAAGAGGAAGACTGGACACATTCCTTATCGAGACAGCAAACTAACGAAACTGCTGGCTGACAGTCTTGCTGGGAATGGTGTTACGTTGATGGTAACGAAGAAAATCTTGCAAAGATGATGAATTTTTGACACAAATTTCAATGTTTCCCGAGATCTTCGAACATGCTAAATTTATTTATAGCAAACAAATTATTCAATACATTGAAATTTAACTTCTACCATTCGATAGAAGGATCATTGAAGTATTTTCAGTAGAAATTTCAAAATTTTTGGGGGAAATTTTGTCGATAAACGAGATGATTCAATATGATTGAATCGGTTGGATGTCAAATTTTCATCTACAACTTTTGTTCATAGAAAAAAATATTATAAATGCATTGAAAAAAAAATCATGCATTCACGCACAAAAAAATTTAATAGAAAAACCTATTGAATTCGTTAGAAAATTCTATTGAATTTCTATTAAACTTTCTATTAGTTTTTGGCTGATTCTGTTGACATGTTCAATAGAAAAAGTCACCAGAATTCGATTTTTCTATATAACTTATTCTTTTCATATATTTTCTATAGAACTTGCTCGACTCAAATTTTCCAAGTTTTTTTCATTCTATTTTTCTTTTCTTCTCATCAAGAAAATCAAACCGAAAAACTTGGAAAATTTGAGCCGAGGAAATTCTACAGAAAATCTCTCAATAGAATAAGTTATATATAAAAATTGAATTCTGTTGACTTTTTCTACTGAATATTTTCTATTAAACATTTCAATAGAATCGGCCAAACACTAATAGAACAGTTCAATAGAAATTCAATAGAATTTTCTAACGAATTCGATAGGTTTTTCTATTAAATTTTTTCGTCCGTGTTATGTTTGTTAGCATTCGGTCTTTCCGGAGCCTGATGAANCGCACTTATGACAATCTGCTCAACGTCGTAATTATTTCCCCACCAACCCTCCAACACGATTGGACATTAACATGATTTTATTTCTTCTTCAAGATTGCCTGCATCTCTCCAGCTCGCTCGAACGCCTCCGAGACCCTCAATACCCTCAGATACGCGGCGAGAGCCAAGAAAATTCGCACAAAACCAATCGTAGTGATGGACCCACGCGAAGCCTTGATTTTGAGCCTCAAGAGAGAAGTCGGGGCCCTGCAGACTGAGAACGATCACCTCAGGGCTGCCCTGCACCTGGGGAACGATCCCCTGACAGCCATCGCCAGTGAAACCCTCGAGAGAAGGCCTCCCATCCACTCCCCCCAGGTCGACATCGACAGACTAGCCGAGATGGAGTCCCCAGAGCTCAGCCAACTCGTTCGTGCCTACATCACCGAGAATGAAGCCCTCAGGAGGGAGAACGCCGAGCTCTACGCCACGAGGGATCAGGTCGTCAGGGATCAGGAGCTCGTCTGCAGGGAGAACGAGAGGCTGTTGAAAAAATTGGAAGACGTCAACACGTGAGTTGGGGGTGATGGGGTGAATCACTCGATTCAAGTTTTTAACTGTTGTTCTGGTGATTCAAGGGTTTGTTGCAGATCTCCGATCATTCCTGCGCGTCCCACTTATTCCGCGGAGATTCTCAACAGTTCGGGGAGGAATGAGGAGCTCACGGCGGGGGCCACTAATGTGTGGACTAATCCGAATGAGGAGTCGGAGTTTTCCAAAGTAATTGCATTCGGCTTTTTTGGTATTGAGTTGGGGGAGAGAGAGAGAGAGAAAAGCATTTATTAAGGATGTTCGACACCCTTTTCATAATAAATCATAATAAATAAAATCCCTCCTCGGCCGAAGCTTAATATTGCCACTTCATCACAAATGATTTCGAATTTGAATTGAAAATGATAATGTATACCTGATACTCATTCCCTTGGTAATTGAAAAAACGAAAAAACCCGTTCATTCTTCGAGAGGTTGGTGAATTTTCAGTCTTCAAAATTTCTTATCTCAAAATCGCAACTGTGTTTTTTCACTCGATTCGTGTGTGAACGTGGATAATCCAAATACCAATGATTCTTATGGAGTGAATATACTTCGGAAGAGCCGAATGGACTTCAGCGTAATCTCTACCACAATAATGACATTCAAAATTTCAGAATGGCCTCGCAAGTAACATTCTGTCGAACCTGGAGACTGGAATGCCAGAGAAAGTCCTGAAAGAGCTAGACAAGAGGATTGTCGGAAGTTTTAGCAACATAGCAGAAGCCTATAAAGACAAGAGCCACCACCGCAGGTACAACTCCTGGGACAATGGGAATGTCTTTACAGACAGTCCAGACCAGAATTCCTCCCCAGTGGACGGTAACCAGTAAGTGAAGAGCATGTCGTGTCCACCCTTTCCTCTCAGATCGTAATTTCTCGTGTTCCCGCTTTCACATTCGATTTCAATTAATCGAGATGATTTTTTTTTCATGAGTTACAAGCGAACTCCCCTAAGGAGGACGTCGACAGTTCCTGAAGAGAGTCATCCGAGGTCCGCAGGTCTCCTGGGGCCCAGGGTGGCTCCAGTCCCCTATTCCCTGGATGGAACACCCGATTCGGTCCTCTCGGGGCCTCTCCTCGAGGGCCAGATCTCGGCTCCAACCACTGGGGACTCTATAGCCCCCACCACTCCCTTCCCGTCGGTCTCTCAGCCGTCATCACCACTGGAGAGGCACAGGAAACCCGGGAAAAGGGACGAGAAGATCCACAGGGCCTTCGGCAGTCCTGTCATGATGAACAGGGGAGACGCAGCTTTCCAATAGGCTTGAGGCTGGTGGGCTCCTCGCTATGGCCTACGTTAGGCTAGAACTAGTCCATTTTCAATCATGTCAGAAATGTGTGAATAATGATAATTCCGTTTTTCCAATAAAGTTAATTATTGAGTTTGTATTAAATTATTTTATGTTGCTGTGGGCTGGCACGGACCTGTGGGGATGTTCGTTAGAAACACCATTACGACCTGATAACAATCTCCAGTAATGTGGAATGTCGATCCTGAAATGATCTCCAATTGCTATGCAGTTTTACATAGCCCTGGAGTCATAATTTTTAGGGAAAATCCAGTGGAAATTGTGATACATTTTACATTATGAAGATGGATTATATTTATTATATTTCGAACGTGAGCTGTTTTTTTTATTTTGATAATCTGAAATGATCTCCAATTGCTATTCGGTTTTACGTAGCCCTGGAGTCTCCAAAAATTATGATTGTACAATCGAAAAACGTTGAAAAAAGCTGAACATTTTCAAAAAGCGTTTTTTAATAATTTGTTATTTTTATTTTCATCAAGACCCAACAGCACAAGGCCAATTACAGGGTCAAACAATTCGGTACAGAATTATTATATAAAATCTTATTATAACAAATTATTATCTATCACAATTATTTATCATTTTTGATTCAAGATGAGAGTTTTACTTAAAACAAGAGTTTAGTTGAGTTAATTTAGTTGCGTACGTTTTCTTTTGAGGTAACGGGTCGTCATTCTAACTATCTCTGTATAATATTGGGAGGAAATTGCAAATTAATAATTTGATTTGATTTTGATTGATTTCCTCCCAATAGGGAGGAAATTGCAAATTAATAATTTGATGTATCTAATGGCTGTTAGGTCGTCATTTACCGCAGTAGTCAATGGCTGTGAGATCGTTAGTTACCATGATAAATTATTCATTCACTATTTCCTCTCTATCGGACTTATTTCTTAATCTTTATTAAAAACGCTCTTTGAAAATGTCCATTTTTTTCTACTTTTTTTATTGTACAATCATAATTTTTAGGGACTCCTGCGTGACGTAAAATCCAATGAAAATTGTGATACATTTTACATTATGAAGATGGATTATATTTATTATATTTCGAACGTGATCTTGGCTATTTTTTTTTATTTTGGTAATCTGAAATGATCTCCAATTGCTATTCGGTTTTACGCAGCCCTGGAGTCTCCCAAAATTATGACTGTACAATCGAAAAAACGTTGAAAAAAGCTGAACATTTTCAAAAAGCGTTTTTTGATAATTTGTTATTTGTTATTTTTATTTTCATCAAGACCCAACAGCACAAGGCCAATTACAGGGTCAAACAATTCGGTACAGAATTATTATATAAAATCTTATTATAACAAATTATTATCTATCACAATTATTTATCATTTTTGATTCAAGATGAGAGTTTTACTTAAAACAAGAGTTTAGTTGAGTTAATTTAGTTGCGTACGTTTTCTTTTGAGGTAACGGGTCGTCATTCTAACTATCTCTGTATAATATTGGGAGGAAATTGCAAATTAATAATTTGATTTGATTTTGATTGATTTCCTCCCAATAGGGAGGAAATTGCAAATTAATAATTTGATGTATCTAATGGCTGTTAGGTCGTCATTTACCGCAGTAGTCAATGGCTGTGAGATCGTTAGTTACCATGATAAATTATTCATTCACTATTTCCTCTCTATCGGACTTATTTCTTAATCTTTATTAAAAACGCTCTTTGAAAATGTCCATTTTTTTCTACTTTTTTTATTGTACAATCATAATTTTTAGGGACTCCTGCGTGACGTAAAATCCAATGAAAATTGTGATACATTTTACATTATGAAGATGGATTATATTTATTATATTTCGAACGTGATCTTGGCTATTTTTTTTTATTTTGGTAATCTGAAATGATCTCCAATTGCTATTCGGTTTTACGCAGCCCTGGAGTCTCCCAAAATTATGACTGTACAATCGAAAAAACGTTGAAAAAAGCTGAACATTTTCAAAAAGCGTTTTTTGATAATTTGTTATTTGTTATTTTTATTTTCATCAAGACCCAACAGCACAAGGCCAATTACAGGGTCAAACAATTCGGTACAGAATTATTATATAAAATCTTATTATAACAAATTATTATCTATCACAATTATTTATCATTTTTGATTCAAGATGAGAGTTTTACTTAAAACAAGAGTTTAGTTGAGTTAATTTAGTTGCGTACGTTTTCTTTTGAGGTAACGGGTCGTCATTCTAACTATCTCTGTATAATATTGGGAGGAAATTGCAAATTAATAATTTGATTTGATTTTGATTGATTTCCTCCCAATAGGGAGGAAATTGCAAATTAATAATTTGATGTATCTAATGGCTGTTAGGTCGTCATTTACCGCAGTAGTCAATGGCTGTGAGATCGTTAGTTACCATGATAAATTATTCATTCACTATTTCCTCTCTATCGGACTTATTTCTTAATCTTTATTAAAAACGCTCTTTGAAAATGTCCATTTTTTTCTACTTTTTTTATTGTACAATCATAATTTTTAGGGACTCCTGCGTGACGTAAAATCCAATGAAAATTGTGATACATTTTACATTATGAAGATGGATTATATTTATTATATTTCGAACGTGATCTTGGCTATTTTTTTTTATTTTGGTAATCTGAAATGATCTCCAATTGCTATTCGGTTTTACGCAGCCCTGGAGTCTCCCAAAATTATGACTGTACAATCGAAAAAACGTTGAAAAAAGCTGAACATTTTCAAAAAGCGTTTTTTGATAATTTGTTATTTGTTATTTTTATTTTCATCAAGACCCAACAGCACAAGGCCAATTACAGGGTCAAACAATTCGGTACAGAATTATTATATAAAATCTTATTATAACAAATTATTATCTATCACAATTATTTATCATTTTTGATTCAAGATGAGAGTTTTACTTAAAACAAGAGTTTAGTTGAGTTAATTTAGTTGCGTACGTTTTCTTTTGAGGTAACGGGTCGTCATTCTAACTATCTCTGTATAATATTGGGAGGAAATTGCAAATTAATAATTTGATTTGATTTTGATTGATTTCCTCCCAATAGGGAGGAAATTGCAAATTAATAATTTGATGTATCTAATGGCTGTTAGGTCGTCATTTACCGCAGTAGTCAATGGCTGTTAGATCCTTAGTTACCATGATAAATTATTCATTCACTATTTCCTCTCTATCGGACTTATTTCTCAATCTTTATTAAAAACGCTCTTTGAAAATGTCCATTTTTTTCTACTTTTTTTATTGTACAATCATAATTTTTATTGTACAATCATAATAATCCAATGAAAATTGTGATACATTTTTCATTACGAAGATGGAAAAACAACTGAGATAACGTTCGAAAGATGATCCACCCGGGCCTTGAAAACTGAATTCAAAGGAAGCGGAGCCCGATCACCAAAGCTCCGCAATCATCTGTTTCTAATACTATCAAAAAACAGTTGAGCCCTGGGTTTCACTCGTCAAAATTTCAACCTCAAAGTTCACGAATTCCCGAAATTCCAGTAGTTAAAAAAATCGCTGAGTGAAGTGACCAATTTTTCAAATTGAGGGTTTTCACACGTGAAATTCAAAAATTCCTTCACCCTCACCTATTCTCCAATCCCCATGAACCCCAATCACCACATCAGGAGTGCTCGACAACGTGAAAAAGTCTCCACGACTTCACTCTTCCCTTCAACCCCAAACAGCCCTTCTTAATCGTCGACCCTCCCCTCTTTTTCACCAATCGTACCTCAAAAACTCGCGCTGGCCGCGACCAGCTGATCCCCCCTTCGAAAAAATTCAAGCGCCTCCGTGACAGCATCCTCCCTGTTACCAACGGAGCGCCTCCGTGACGGCATCGCAAGCCCTCCCCTCCCGTGCATCAATTCCCTTCGTCATCGGTCCGCCTCGCAAGCCGTTGAAACAAAGAGAAACCCCAATCACTTGAAAAAAAAAACCCCAGTGTACCTGAAGACCTCCCTCTCGCCCCGAGAAGTCTCGCGAGCCCCCAATCTCTCGGAAGGCCGCGACCCCGGGCCAGTGGTGAGTGGCGTCCGCGTTCCGGAGTTCCCCCAACCCCACCAAACGTTCCCAAAACGCCAGCCAATTCCCCGCAATCCACCGTTACCCAAAAAATAAGGATCGAAGAGTCAGAAAAACGGCACTCCTGAGGTCCGATGTCTAGTGCTGAGGTGGTGGATAGTTCCGTTGACCCCCCAGCAAAGAAGCGACGCATTGCAACGACGGGAGGTTCAGACGAGACAGAAAAAGCGATGGCGAAGAACGGCTCATCCTCAAAGTCTGACAATCACAATCATGAAATCGACGAGGGCCTGTACTCCCGCCAGCTCTACGTCCTCGGGCACGAGGCGATGCACCGAATGGCGTCCTCAGACGTCCTCATCTCAGGTCTCGGTGGCCTGGGGGTGGAGATCGCCAAGAACGTTGTCCTGGGGGGCGTGAAATCGGTGACCCTCCACGACGCCAAAATCACCAAGATAACGGACCTGTCCTCGCAGTTTTACCTCACCGATGAGGACGTGGGTAAGAATCGAGCTGAGGCGTGCTACCAGCGGCTGTCAGAGCTCAACAATTACGTGCCCACGAGGCACCACGAGGGCCACCTCGACGAGGAGTTCGTCAAGAAGTTCAAGGTCGTCGTGCTGACGGAGGCGAGGATCGAGGAGCAGGTGAGAATCTCGAGAATAACGAGGGCGAACGACATCGCCCTGATCATCGCCGACACGAGGGGACTCTTCTCCCAGGTGTTTTGTGACTTTGGAGAGGAGTTTCACGTCGTCGACACCAACGGGGAGCCCCCGATAACGACGATGATCGCCAGTGTCTCGAGGGACGCCGAGGGGGTGGTCACGTGTTTGGATGACACTCGTCATGGCATGGAGGACGGTGATTTCGTCACTTTCTCGGAGGTCCAGGGGATGACGGAGCTCAATGGGTGTGAGCCAGTGAGGGTCAGGGTCCTGGGGCCCTACACCTTCGCCATCGGGGACACCTCGGCGTTCTCGGAGTACCAGAGGGGGGGCATCGTCACTCAGGTGAAGATGCCCAAGACGATGGCCTTCAGGAGCTTCGAGGAGGCCCTCAAGGACCCGGAGTTCGTTGTCACTGATTTTGGCAAGTTCGAGCATCCCGAGCAGCTGCATCTCGCCTTCCTGGCGCTGCACGAGTTCCAGGGGCTCAAGGGCAGGCTGCCTCGACCCTGGAACGACGAGGATGCCCAGGAGCTGGTGGACCTCGCTGGCTCTGTCAAGGAGAAGTGGGGACTGGGGACTGAAGTGAAGAGGGAGCTCCTCCAGACTTTTGCTAAAGTCTCCTCGGGGGAGCTCAACCCCATGAATGCGACTATTGGAGGAGTTGTGGCTCAGGAGGTGATGAAGGCCTGCTCCGGGAAATTCTCACCCATTTTCCAGTGGATGTACTTCGATGCTGTTGAGTGCCTGCCAGAGGATCTGGGGAGGATTCAGGAGGGGGACTGTGCGGCTCTGGGGGACAGGTACGACGCCCAGGTCGCAGTCTTCGGGAGGAAGTTCCAGGAGGTCATCGGGAAGTTGAAGTACTTCGTCGTTGGGGCTGGGGCCATTGGCTGCGAACTCCTCAAGAACTTTGCTATGCTCGGGGTGGGGGCTGGTGGGGGGGCCGTCACTGTTACGGATATGGATCTCATTGAGAAGTCCAATTTGAATAGGCAGTTCCTCTTCAGGCCTTACGACGTGCAGAAGTCCAAGGCGTCCACTGCTGCGAGGGTCGTCAGGGGCATGAACCCCGAGATGAATGTTATTGCTCATGAGAACAGGGTTGGCCCCGAGACGGAGAAGGTTTATAATGATGAGTTCTTTGAGGTTCTGGATGGGGTTGCTAATGCTCTCGATAATGTCGACGCCAGGATCTACATGGACAGGAGGTGTGTTTATTACAGAAAACCTTTGCTGGAGTCGGGGACCCTTGGGACTAAAGGAAACACTCAGGTAATTTATTTTACTTATGATTTTTGTCGTGTCGAAACTTGTGGATTCCGAGATATTTACTAAAAACTGGCCAATTGCCAAAATCGACTCAAACCGCTTTACCACTTCGCTACTGAATTGGTAGAAATGAAAAAAAAAAAAAGGACTAACAACGCAAAAGCAACGGTCACCCGCCTTCTGTCGGCTGAGCTCGAACCCCTGCTTGTTCTACCATTTTATTTACATCGAAAATAAGAGGAAGTTGGTAATTTTCCTCTCCTTGATTTCAGGTCGTAGTTCCCTTCCTCACCGAGTCGTACAGCTCCTCGCAGGACCCCCCCGAGAAGTCGATTCCAATCTGCACCCTGAAGAACTTCCCCAACGCCATCGAGCACACCCTCCAGTGGGCTCGCGACAACTTCGAAGGCCTCTTCCGCCAGGCAGCGGAGAATGCAGCTCAGTACATAACGGATCCCCAGTTTGTCGACAGAACTCTGAAGCTGCCAGGTGTGCAGCCCCTCGAGGTCCTAGAATCGGTGAAGACAGCTCTGGTCGACGAACGCCCCAAGCAGTTCTCAGACTGCGTGGCCTGGGCTCGCTGCCACTGGCAGGACCAGTACAACAACCAGATTCGCCAGTTGCTCTTCAACTTCCCCCCAGACCAGGTCACCTCCAGTGGTCAGCCCTTCTGGTCAGGCCCCAAACGCTGCCCCCTCCCCCTCACCTTCGACCCTGAGGACCAGCTCCATCTGGATTACATCGTGGCAGCGGCCAATCTCAAGGCAGCAGTCTACGGTCTCCCCAGCAATCGCAACAGAACAGAAATCCTCAAGATGCTGGAGGCCGTCGTTGTCCCCCAGTTCGTCCCAAGGAGTGGCGTCAAAATTGCAGAGACAGACTCACAGGTACAGGTGTCCAATGGCTCTGGTAATGTCGATCACGAGCGCCTCCAGCAGCTCCAGGAGGAGCTTCCGAAGCCCTCGGAGCTCCACGGACTCAAGATCAATCCTCAGGACTTTGAGAAAGACGACGACACCAATTTCCACATTGACTTCATCGTTGCAGCGTCCAATCTTCGAGCTGCCAACTACAAAATTCCACCGGCAGACAGGCACAAGAGCAAGCTCATCGCTGGCAAGATCATCCCTGCTATTGCCACTACAACATCGGTTGTCGCTGGTCTCGTCTGCTTGGAGCTCATCAAGTTGGCCTGGGGCTGCAGGAACTTGGAACGATTCAAGAATGGGTTTGCCAATCTGGCGCTGCCTTTCTTCGGCTTCTCCGAACCCATTTCGGCCCCTAAACTCACGTATTATGATATTGAGTGGACTTTGTGGGACAGGTTTGAGGTCGCTGGGGAACTCACGCTCAAGGAGTTTCTTGATTACTTCAAGGAGACTCACAAGCTCGAGGTGACGATGCTCTCCCAGGGGGTTTGCATGCTGTACTCGTTCTTCATGGCTAAAGCCAAGTGCCAGGAGAGGATGGGACTCGCCATGTCGGAGGTTGTTAAGAAGGTCTCCAAGAAGAAGCTCGAGCCACATGTCAGGGCACTTGTCTTCGAGCTCTGCTGCAATGACACCGATGGAAATGACGTCGAGGTCCCTTATGTTCGCTACACTCTGCCCTGACTCTGAGTTCAATCTTCATTACTTTCGAGATGTGCGAGGGATTAGTTAATACTTAATATGAGAATTATTAAGTGTTTGGAATACGGAATATAGCCCATAGTCATTTCTACAAATTTCTATTTTATCATTAATGCCATTTCATCGGCTGGAAAATCGGTGGCACTGGAGTTTCGCTTTGGGGGATTTTTTTTTTGTTTTTTTTTATTCAGTTCCTCAATTTGTAGACTGGGAAATTATTAGTCCGGTGGATACGTTCGTGCATTCTCTCTGGATTCAACGATGAAAATGTGTAAATTAAGGATAGAGGTAACGGTAACGTGTAGATGCAATTGATAAGTTTATTCTCTTGCCTAAACTTGGTTTTTTTATTTCTACAATTGTATGCGAGATTGTTTACATTGTTGATGGGGAATTTGGACACCATATCGATTCGTATTTCGTTTGTAATGTGAAACTGGTGGCATGCGAGCAGTGACAAATTCAATAGAATTATTGTAACCGAAATGAGGGGTGATTGAAAACGAGTAAAATGTTTTTTCAATAATCGATAAATAATTAACCATTGGCTAAGTCGTTTGATTGTTAACAGTAAACTTGCATTTGGAAGTTTGGAAGAAGAGGAAAATCTCGTGGGATTAAACATTTAGATGAAACACATATTTTGTTTATCATAGAGACACGAAATATTTATTGTACTCCTTCGGATAAAAATACATGTGTTTGGATTGCAAGTGAATTAATAAAAAGAATACAGCAAGTGGTGGTTTTCTTTGAAGGGGATTTCGGGAGAATTTTTGGAAAAATGTATTGATTTTTTTTAATTTCCCGAGTTCGACAAAAACATAAGCAAGCGATCGAACACGTAATATTTCAATTGAGGCTCGGCTGGATTATTTTTCGAAAGTGATCTTGGTTGTTTTTTTTATTTTGATAATCTGAAATGATCTCCAATTGGTATTCAGTTTTACGTAGCCTTGGAGTCTCCAAAAATTATGATTGTACAATCAAAAAAACTTTAAAAAAAAGCAGAACATTTTGAAATAGGGTTTTTTTAATAATATTGGGAAATAAAACCAATAGGGAGGAAATTGCAAATTAATAATTCGACGTATCAGCAGTCAATGGCTGTGAGATCGTTAGTTACCATGATAAATTATCCATTCACTATTTCCTCTCTGTCGGACTCATTTCTTAATCTTTATTAAAAACGCTATTTAAAAATGTTCAGTTTTTTTTCTATTTTTTTTTATTACAATCATAATTTTTAGGGACTCCTGCGAGATGTAAAATCCAATGGAAATTGTGATATATTTTACATTATGAAGATGGATTATATTTATTATATTTCGAACGTGATCTTGGCTGTTTTTTTTTATTTTCATAATCTAAAATGATCTCCAATTGGTATTCAGTTTTACGTAGCCCTGGAGTCTCCAAAAATTATGATTGTACAATCAAAAAAGCAGAACATTTTAAAATAGGGTTTTTTAATAATATTGGGAAATAAAACCAATAGGGAGGAAATTGCAAATTAATAATTTGACGTATCAGCAGTCAATGGCTGTGAGATCGTTAGTTACCATGATAAATTATCCATTCACTATTTCCTCTCTGTCGGACTCATTTCTTAATCTTGATTAAAAACGCTATTTAAAAATGTTCAGTTTTTTTTTCTATTTTTTTTTTATTACAATCAATTTTTAGGGACTCCTGCGAGATGTAAAATCCAATGGAAATTGTGATATATTTTACATTATGAAGATGGATTATATTTATTATATTTCGAACGTGATCTTGGCTGTTTTTTTTTATTTTCATAATCTAAAATGATCTCCAATTGGTATTCAGTTTTACGTAGCCCTGAAGTCTCCAAAAATTATGATTGTACAATCAAAAAAGCAGAACATTTTAAAATAGGGTTTTTTAATAATATTGGGAAATAAAACCAATAGGGAGGAAATTGCAAATTAATAATTTGACGTATCAGTAGTCAATGGCTGTGAGATCGTTAGTTACCATGATAAATTATCCATTCACTATTTCCTCTCTGTCGGACTTATTTCTAAATCATGATTAAAAACGCTATTTAAAAATGTTCAGTTTTTTTTTCTATTTTTTTTTTATTACAATCAATTTTTAGGGACTCCTGCGAGATGTAAAATCCAATGGAAATTGTGATATATTTTACATTATGAAGATGGATTATATTTATTATATTTCGAACGTGATCTTGGTTGTTTTTTTTTATTTTGATAATCTAAAATGATCTCCAATTGCTATTCAGTTTTACGTAGCCTTGGAGTCTCCAAAAATTATGATTATACAATCAAAAAAACCTTGAAAAAAAGAACATTTTCAGAGAGCATTTTTTAATAATATTGGGAAATAAACCGAATAGGGAGGAAATTGCAATTAATAATTTGATGTATCTAATGGCTGTTAGACCGTTAGTTACAATGATAAATTATCCATTGACTATTTCCTCTCTATCGGAATTATTTCTTAATCTTTGTTAAAAACGCTCTTTGAAAATATATTCTTTTTTAATTATCGCTGGAAACCCTTCGCAGGTTTATTCATCCAAAAAAGAAATATATAATTGATAGTTACAAGCACATTTGATATGTTCATTTACATTTTCATATACAGATAATTTTTTAATCAACTTCTCAAGTTCATTTTTCATTACAAAATCATGTACGACAGTGAGAGAAACAAAAATTCTATTGTATTTTTTTGTTAGTGGAATATTGCCGAACTCCATCAATATATTCGAGCGAAAATGGTCTTTTCCAAACAAACAATATTCGCGTTACTACAATTTCGGAGCGATGACCATTGAGGGGGCGCCCCGTCCTTTTGTGTTTCAATACTTAGGTTACAATTTGGCAATTTAATTCGTGAGAATCGCAATAAATTACCCATTTTTAGCTCATAACACCCAACATTAAAATATTTGATGTTTGGATTTTCGAGCCTACGAGCGTTAATTCATTGAGTTTTCTGCATCCTGACTCAATCAACCGCTGGACCTCGGTAAATCCAGCGTCAACCCTTCTGGTGGGAATTTTTTCCCGCCGAAATGATTGACAACAACAAAACATTCGAGGTTATGTCCCAGAAATGGCGCAGCGTTCAATAACGTGAGTATTTTCTTCCAGAAAACAATTTAACCAGTGATTTAACTATGAAAATTACCACTCAAGGTCTTTCTTCAAGAAATCGGCGACGTCAGAGGAGCAGAAGGAGTCCCCCAGGTACGTGCAATCGATGATTATTCATTATGATTGGTCGTCTGCCCCTAGTGTTGGCTCGTTCAGCCACTCTGTGGAGACAAACAAGATTATTAACATTACCTAATAAATCACGAGTTACTCATGTTTGTCATTGCCTCCATCTCAGCGTCGTTGATGAGGCGAAAGATAAAAATGGGAAGGAGCAGGCGGAAGGGAAGAGAAAGCGACCCAATAGAAGCAGCAGCAGTAGCACGAACGAGTGAGTCCCCAAAAAAATATAAATTTCTCTGTGGATGTTGAGATCTTTCAACGTATGAGGCTGAAACTACACTGAGAGAAAAACGACAAAGTTCTCAAACAAGTCTTACTTGTCCCAAGAAAATAGTTTTTTGAAAATTATCAAAAAAGGATTTTTTGTGCCAAACACGGAGTGAAAAATTTTTGTCGCAAAAATAGATTTAGTAGTTGAAAAAAAATTGCATTCTCTGTAGACGCAAGAAATGTCATTTCTAGCACTACTCCTTCGTTATTCGATACTCCCACACGTATTTAGCTCCCGAAAAATCTTTGTTTTATGCGAAACAAGGGATAGTATTTTTTCGTTTCGGCTGTCTAATAATCACAGACAACAAATGAACCCTTAAATGAAACAATAATAATGATATAGCAATCTTGTAACTTGGGGATAAAATATTAGTTGATAAATTTTCCTCTGTATGAGATATTTTCGTCCTGAAAAGGCACCGTCTGGTGTGAATTATCCGCCTCTGGAGCCGAATATTTCGTTGCTGTCGAAAGCAGAACAATTATTCATGTTTGAGACTTTCAAATTCCAACCAAACAAATTCTTTTTTTGGCAATTTTCAACTAACGATTTTGTTGGCAGAAACAAGACCCTTTTCCCCCTTAGATTCGGAGATATTCCTCTTAAACTCAACTGGGAGATAAGTCGACTTGAATCGTTTTACCCCTTCGCTACTGATTTGTACTCAAATCTTCAAACCAAAAACCAAACACGAAATCACGAATTCACGAATTCACTCGAATTTTTTGTTTTTGGGTTCAAATCTCCTGCTGTCGAATCTTTCGCTAGTTTCAGCTTCATTGTTAACGCTCGTATTTCTGGAATAATTATTTTCACATTGTCTGAAGGTCTCCACCGTCGAAGAAGCCCTCGAGCGTAGGAAAGCCGAAAAAACCGAAGTCCCAGGCTGTTGACAAGCCCAAGAGCACTCAGGGTAAGCTCGCCTTCTCGAGAGAACCCCCCAAGGAAGTCCCTGAGGAGAAGAAAGCCCCCAAGAGCAATGGTGTCGATGGCAAGAAGAAACCTGGAAAGAAGAGGTCCAGGATCATCCAGGAGGATTCGAGTGACGACGAATCTCACCTTCCAGTGAGTACCGGTGTCGAGTCACAAGGAGTCATAGGAAACAATTATTACAAATAAATTTGGATCAACTGAAATTATCCAAAATTAAACCTAATAAATTAACAACAATAATGTCTCAATCGTAACGAGAATGATGTCACAATCGTAGAATGCAGAGGGCCTACACTGAGAGAAAAATAAACACGTTCAAAGAGGTCTTGTGTGGGCCAACAAAATCGCTAGTTGAAAATTGCCAAAAAGAATTTGTTTGGTTCGAATTTGAAAGTCTCAAACACGAATAATTGTTCTGCCTTCGACAGCAACGAAATATTTGGCTCAAGAGGCGGATAATTCACACCAGACGGTGCCTTCTCAGGATGAAAATATCTCATACAGAGGAAAATTTATCAACAAATATTTTATCCCCAAGTTACAAGATGCTATCATGTCATTATTATTGTTTCATTTAAGGGTTCATTTCAGTAGCGAAGCGTTAAACCGGGTCAAGTCGATTTTGACAATTGGCCAGTTTTTGACGAATATCTGGGAATCTAAAAGAGATAGAAAAATTTTTGTCATGACCTTTTTTGTAAAGCCAACTGAGGGTTATAAAAAAGGTCATGAGGAAAATTTTGCTATCTCTCTTAGATTCCGAGATATTTGTCAAAAAATGGCCAAAAGTCAAAATCGACTTGACCCGGTTTACCCCTTCGCTACTGATTTGTTGTCTGTGATCATTAGACAGCCGAAAGGAAAAACTACTATCCCTTGTTTCGCGTAAAACAAAGATTTTTCGGGAGCAAAATACGTACGGGAGTATCGAACAGTTTTACCAGATCGTGGCGTCACCCCATTTAAAATTGTACAGGTTTTGGCTATAAATCGCCAAAATCTGGGAACCCTGGTATCNGGGAGTATCGAACAGTGTTACCAGATCGTGACGTCACCCCATTTAAAATTGTACAGGTTTTGGCTATAAATCGCCAAAATCTGGGAACCCTGGTATCGAATAACGAAGAAGTAGTGCTAGAAATGAAATTTCTTGCGTCTACAGAGGATGCAATTTTTTTTGAACTACAAAATCTATTTTTGCGACAAAAATTTTCCACTCCGGCGCACTCTCTCATGTTTGGCACAAAAAATCCTTTTTTCATAATTTTCAAAAAACCATTTTCTTGGCATTAATATTTTCATTAATATTTTATATTCATTAATATTTTATCCCCAAGTTACAAGATTGCTATATCATTATTATTGTTTCATTTAAGGGTTCATTTGTTGTCTGTGATTATTAGACAGCCGAAAGGAAAAAATACTATCCCTTGTTCCGCATAAAACAAAGATTTTTCGGGAGCAAAATACGTATGGGAGTATCGAATAACGAAGGAGTAGTGCTAGAAATGACATTTCTTGCGTCTACAGAGAATGCAATTTTTTTTCAACTACTAAATCTATTTTTGCGACAAAAATTTTTCACTCCGTGTTTGGCACAAAAAATCCTTTTTTGATAATTTTCAAAAAACTATTTTCTTGGGACAAGTAAGACTTGATTGAGAACTGTGTCGTTGTTCTCTCAGTGTAGTGTCAGTCCAGTGATCCGTGACTCGTAGTTAAGCTACTCTGGAGTACCCTGGCCGTATCCACGTCAAAAAGCAAAAAATCCCCTCACTACGGTCTTTTTTTCCAGCTGCCAGACAGTCCGGTCAAGTCAGAGGACAAAGAGTCATCCCCCAGCCCCAAGGATTCAAACAAACCCTCGATCATAAAATCCGAATCAAGTTCAGAATCAGAGTCGGAGGAAGGAAGGAAGTCCCCGGCCGTGAAGAAGCCCCAGGAGAACCTGGCCAGCATCCTCAGCAAACCCCTGAAGACATCTCCAAAAGAGGAAAAGTCCTCGGGATCTGACTCAGACCCTGAGGAGCCTGCGAAGCCCGAAAAATCCCCGGAGAAAGTCCCCTCGAAGGACATTCGAGGCTTCTTCGCTGGCAAATCCCAGGCGAAAACCCAGAGAAACGAGAAAAAGGACTCCAACAGTCACTCCTATGACCCCAGCGCTGATAAATACCACCCGATTGACTCGGCCTGCTGGAAGAGGGGTGAGAAAGTCCCCTATATAGCCCTCACAAGGACCCTCGAGCTCATAGAGAAGACGAGTGCGAGGCTCAAGATGGTGGAGATCCTGGCGAATTTCTTCAGATCAGTCATCGTCCTCACCCCGGACGACCTCCTGGCGAGTGTCTACCTGTGCCTGAATCAACTGGCCCCGGCTTACGAGGGCGTGGAGCTGGGGATTGCTGAGACAACCCTGATTAAAGCCATTGCCCAGTGCACGGGGAGAACTATGGCGCAGATTAAAGCCGATGCCCAGGAGGTGGGGGACCTCGGGATCGTGGCTGAGGGCAGTCGGTCCAACCAGAGGATCATGTTCCAACCGGCGCCGTTGATGGTCTCCCATGTTTTCTCGAAGCTGAGGGAAATCGCCCAGATGACTGGGACCTCCTCGGTTGGGAAGAAAGTCGACAGGATCCAGTCTTTGTTCGTGGCTTGTCGGTTCACCGAGGCCAGGTACCTGATTTTTTTTCGCTTACGAGTGGAAGCCTTGTATTTGAGTGATTTTTTGAATTTCTGATTTTGATGGCGAGTGGGCTAGGATGTCATGAAACGTGAAGAAATTGTGATTTTAGGGTCATGTGGGCATGTGTGTGACAACTTGGGTTTTTGGTGATCAATTTTTAGAAAATTTAACATTAATACGGGGAAATTTGGCGATGAAAGTCTGAAATTTTGGGGCATGGTAGCTGTGATTATGCTTCACTTTGGTGCGCAGTTTCAGCCCGATCGGTCCGGTAGTTCCCGAGATATAACAACTTCTTTAAATTTCGTTTTTCCTTAATATCTCAAAATCTACTCCACCGATTTCATTTTTTTTTATTTCAAAATACTCGTCTCGATGGCCTCTGTCGATCAATCAAAATATATATATCCGTTCAGACGAAATTTGAAGAAATTGCCGTTTTCCCGTTTCTTTTTTTTTTTAATTTTTAGAAAATTCAACATTAATACGGGGAAATTTGTCGATGAAAGTCTGAAATTTTGGGGCATGGTAGCTATGATTATGCTTCACTTTCGTGCGCAGTTTCAGCCCGATCGGTCAGGTAGTTCCTGAGATATAACAACTTCTTTAAATTTCGTTTTTCCTTAATATCTCAAAATCTACTCCACCGATTTCAATTTTTTTTTCAAAATACTTGTCTCGGTGGCCACTATCTAGATCAATCAAAATATGTATACCCGTCCATACAAAGGTTCAGAGACATTCCCGTTTTTTCGTTTTAAAAATTTTTCCATTCTTGTACGCACGATATTTTGAGAAAAAATGAAAATAGCAAGTTGAAATTTGGTGTGATTATAGCTCTCACAATATTAAAGATTCGTATTTTGGACAGGCGCAATCGGCCGAGCAGTTTCTGAGATATTTAACCTTTTGTATAAATCTATTTCCTTAAAATCTTGAATATCTTCCTGTAGACACCCTGTAGCACGTGTTTACGGTTGTATGCCTGTCACAAGGACAGGTCATGCCTTCCGGATCCATTCGATTACTACCAATAGAATTGGTATAAATGAAAAAAAGAAAGGAATAACAACGCAAAAAGAACGGTCACACGTCTTCTGTCGGATGGGCTGAAACCCCTGCCTGTTTCCATTGTCCTGAAATCATTACCGCTACTAAATAATCAATTTTTCTCATTCCCCCCGTACCAGGTACCTCATAAGATCCCTCGCTGGTAAACTGAGGATTGGCCTGGCTGAGCAATCAGTGCTGCAGGCACTGGCCCTCGCCTGTGCCCTCACTCCTCCCAATCAAGAATTTCCTCCTGAGGTAATCAATGCCAGCAAGAAAGTCCCGGCCGAGAAATTCAAGCAACAATACGAAGAGATTGCGCTAATCATCAAGACGACCTACTGCGAGTGCCCGAATTATGACCTGATAATCCCGGTGCTTTTGAAGGAGGGGGTGAAGGCCCTCCCTGAGAAATGCAAACTCCGTCCGGGAATTCCTCTCAAACCCATGCTTGCTCATCCAACTAAAGGCGTCCAGGAGGTGCTCACCAGATTCGAGGGGCACAAATTCACTTGCGAGTGGAAGTACGACGGGGAACGAGCGCAGATTCACGTTGATGAGAGCGGCGTTGTCTCCATATACTCCAGAAATCAAGAGAACAACACCAGCAAGTACCCCGACATCATCGGGAGGTTGAAATCAGCTGTGAAGAAATCAGTCAAGAGTTGCATTTTGGATTGCGAGGCTGTCGCCTGGGACAGGGAGAAGAAGCAGATACTCCCCTTTCAGATACTGAGCACGAGGAAGAGGAAGGACGCCAACGAGTCCGATATCAAGGTCCAGGTTTGTGTCTTCATGTTTGATCTTCTGTATTTGAATGGGGAGGCTCTTGTCACTGAGCCCTTTGTCAAGCGGAGGGAGCTGCTGAAGGAACACTTCAACGAGCTCGAGGGGGAGTGGAGGTTCGCCACCAGCTTGGACACCACGAGGATGGAGGAGGTCCAGGACTTCCTCGAGGAGTCGGTCAAGGGGAATTGCGAGGGGCTCATGGTGAAGACTCTGGAGGAAGACGCGACTTATGAGATCGCCAAGAGATCTCGCAATTGGCTGAAGTTGAAGAAGGATTATCTGGAAGGGGTCGGCGACACTCTGGACGTCGTCGTCATTGGGGGGTACATTGGCAAGGGGAAGAGGACTGGAACCTATGGGGGATTTTTACTGGCTTGTTATGACCCCGAGAACGAGGAGTATCAGAGTCTCTGCAAAATTGGCACTGGCTTCAGTGAGGATGACCTTGCCAAGCACACGACCTTCCTGAAGGATCATGTCGTGCCTCAGGCCAAAGGGTACTATCGGTATGACAGCAGTCTCGAGCCTGATCACTGGTTTGAGCCCGTTCAGGTGTGGGAGATCAAGTGCGCGGATTTGTCACTTTCACCGGTGCATCGCGCTGCTGCTGGAATCGTCGATCCTGTCAAGGGGATCTCACTGAGGTTCCCGAGGTTCATCAGGGTGAGGGAGGACAAGAACGTTGAGGACTCCACTTCGGCGCAGCAGGTCGCTGATATGTACAAAAACCAGGAGCAGATCGTCAATCAACAGGGGTCGACTGCTGTCAATGAAGAGGATTTTTATTAATTTTTCCTCGACTTTTTTAACATGGCAGTGTGAACGAAGGAATGAATCGCATTTTTTTTTTATTGTTCCTGTGGAATTGTACGTGCGGAATTGTTTTAATTATAATTGTCACTTTGAATATTTTTCGGAGTATTAAATATGGACTGTTCACTCCTCCCCCTGCCTCTCCGTGCTCCATCCATCGCTCCCGAGAAAAATTTATTGAATTTATTTTTCCTTCTTTTTGATTGAACAGTGACGCAACATCAAACAAGATTGAATTCTCGGCGTGAGGGCCAGCTGCGACTATTTGAAATACATAGGTCCCTGTGCGGACCCTGCACCTCAAGTGGTCGCCCTAGTTTGTCTCTCTTACTCAACAGGCATGTGCGTAACGCCACTTGGGAAATAAGTACACATGGGAAAATGGGAAAAAATTGATATTTTAGGGGGAAATGTACGAGGGACACTTGTGTTTTCTCCAGGAAAAGAGAGCGATAATTCAAGTCAACTTTTTTCGTAAAATGGAAAAGATGGAGGAGATGGAGTAACCCTGAAACATTATAGGCCCTTTAGTCTTGAGGGAAACCTTGACTAGTGGTGCACGAATTTTTTTGCCTTATCTCTTGAGGTGACTAGGTGACGTCGAATCAAGGTATTCAGAAACACTTGCACCTACAGTGAACACTCAGTGTTTTTTAGTTGTTCAGTTGCTGCTTACATGTTCAAGAGTGAAATGAAGAGGAATTAAACGATTCACGTAAGTAATTTTATTCTGAATAAATTTTACATTTTTAGAATTTAATATTAGCCGAATAGTGTATATAATAAAATCTAGCCCAAAGACATAAATTGCATTCTAATTACGTGATTTTTATTCCGTAAATAAACTTGGACATATATTATTTAAGGGGAGGCTACTATGAGTTTTAATTTTCATACATTGAAGATCGATTTTGAACATGAATGGTGCAATTTTTTATTGAAAAAATAACGAAATTAGCTGTGAGGGGTCGAATTTCGAAAACTAATTCGTAATTGTTATTGCACATATTTTTCCAAAAATTTTGCATAAAAAACCTCTGTAGCTCAACAATTGGAGGCCCTGGACTATTTTTAGCATTTTAAGCGTCTGCGTAGCAAACGAACAATAAACAATTAATTTTTTTGCACTAACTATTTGTTTTTAGACACATAATCGATCTTCAATGCATGAGAAATTTCACTCGAATATTCCACGACTTTTAAAGCTCATAGTAGTCTCCCCTTAATTATTTTATTTATTTTTTTCAAATTCAAATAAATTCTGCAGGCCAAATAGATCCCGTTTATCGGCTCCTGATGATGTCCCCTGTTCTCGTAGTGCCATCGGTCGGCAAAAAAGAGATTTCCCCCCCATAAAATCCAATTATGACAAAAAAAAAAGAAAGGCGTCCAGTCAGTTTGTCATCTCTGCTTGTGCACGTCGGTTGTTGCGGGTGTTTTTTAATTGTTCAATGGCTATTTAACTCATTCCAATCACCACTCGAACAATGAGCTCAACTAAATTAAGTAGATCATGAACACCGAAGACGTAGTAGTTACTCATTAGGCACCGAAATAAAGCCCTCGGTTGTTCTTTAAATACTCGGGGGGGATGACAACGAGGGGTTGGAGAATCGTAGCTGTTGAAAAACCGGTGAGAAAGCACTCCGTCATTTTATTGCCATTTCCTCAATCAAAGTGATAAGGGAATAACACTATTATTCATTTGTCTCTCGTCTGCGTGTGCATTCGCGATTATTTATGAAGCCAAAGTCGATTTATTCGTAAAGGGCAGACTTTGAATATTCATCTGTACTGGAGGTATTTTCGCAGAAATGTTTGCATAAAGCTGATAAAAATTTTCGACAAGCAAACCTGTGCCAATTATTTTGCCCCCGAAAAACCTTTGTTTTATGCGAAACAAGGGATAGTAGTTTTTCGTTTCGGCTGTCTCATAATCACAGACAACAAATGAACCCTTAAATGAAACAATAATAATGATATGATAGCAATCTTGTAACTTGGGGATGAAATATTTGTCGATAAATGTTCCTCTGTGAGATATTTTCATCCTGAAAAGGCACCGTCTGGTGTGAATTATCCGCCACTTGAGCCAAATATTTCGTTGCTGCCGAAAGCAGAACAATTATTCATGTTTGAGACTTTCAAATTCGAACCAAACAAATTCTTTTTTGGCAATTTTCAACTAGCGATTTTGCTGGCCCAAACAAGACTTGTTTGACAATGTGTTTGTTTTTCTCTCAGTGTGGTATTGCCATTTACTCAGCCAAAATCAAAAATAATCTTTCCCTCGTTGGCATTTCCATTCACGATAACTTATGAAACTAAAGTTGATTTATTCGTAAAGGCTAGCTTTTGAATATTCATTTGCACTGGAGGTATTTTCGCAGAAATGTATGCATAGAACTGATAAAATTTCTCGACAAGCAAAATTGTGCCAATTATTAACCCGGGAGAACTTAAATTATTTCAGTCCACAAGAGTTATCTTTGGCTCTTATCAAAGACGAAAAATCCATAATCATTCTATTATCGTGTTCCGCTAGAGCAATCCAAATCATTATCTCTCGCTTCGATATAGTCACGCACACATCAAGGTTCCATACAATACAATTTTTGTACCGGTAATTTACATTTATTTGCTTTCCTGCAAAATCATTGTTTCGTGTTTCGTCATGTTGGTTATTTAATGGAGAGAATTGAATTTTTTTTCCACTGTTTATGAGTTTTAAATGGCTTTATAGCTGAGGATGAAAGGAAGATACAAAGCAGCGGCAATTGGAATTCATACGTTGTGAAATGAGGATAAGCAATGATAAATAAAGTTTATGGAAAGAGGGTTTTATCGAACTATTGGAGCATTCTGGAACATGGTTCAGCAGAGGCTGTCTGCATTTGACGGTGAGACATTTATTTTTTCACTTGAAAGACGATGAGTATTTTAATTTTAATGGCTCATTAAATCTTCAGTGACGGCCCGGGTTGATTATCTTTCGAACGCGATCTTGGTTGTTTTCTTATTTTGATAATCTGGAATGATCTCCAATTGCGATTCAGTTTCACATAGCCCTGGAGTCTCCAAAAATTATGATAGTACAATCAAAAAACGTTGAGAAAAAGCCGAACATTTTCAAAGAGCGTTTTTGAATAATATTGAGAAATAACCCCAATAGGGAGGAAATTGCAAATTAATAATTTGTCACAGTATTATGATAAATGACATGATAAATTATCCATTCACTATTTCCTCTCTATCGGACTTATTTCTTAATCTTTATTAAAAACGCTCTTTGAAAATGTTCAGTTTCTTCTACTTTTTTTGATTGCACAATCATAATTTTTAGGGACTCCTGGGCGGTGTAAAATCCAATGGAAATTGTGATATATTTTACATTATGAAGATGGATTATATTTATTATATTTCGAACGTGATCTCGGTTGTTTTTTTTATTTTGATAATCTGAAATGATCTCCAATTGCTATTCAGTTTCACATAGCCCTGGAGTCTCCAAAAATTATGATAGTACAATCAAAAAACGTTGAGAAAAAGCCGAACATTTTCAAAGAGCGTTTTTGAATAATATTGGGAAATAACCCCAATAGGGAGGAAATTGCAAATTAATAATTTGTCACAGTATTCGATGGCTGTGAGATCGTTAGTTACCATGATAAATTATCCATTCCCTATTTCCTCTCTATCGGACTTATTTCTTAATCTTTATTAAAAACGCTCTCTGAAAATGTTCAGTTTCTTCTACTTTTTTTGATTGCACAATCATAATTTTTAGGGACTCCTGCGCGGTGTAAAATCCAATGGAAATTGTGATATATTTTACATTATGAAGATGGATTATATTTATTATATTTCGAACGTGATCTCGGTTGTTTTTTTTATTTTGATAATCTGAAATGATCTCCAATTGCTATTCAGTTTCACATAGCCCTGGAGTCTCCAAAAATTATGATAGTACAATCAAAAAACGTTGAGAAAAAGCCGAACATTTTCAAAGAGCGTTTTTGAATAATATTGGGAAATAACCCCAATAGGGAGGAAATTGCAAATTAATAATTTGTCACAGTATTCGATGGCTGTGAGATCGTTAGTTACCATGATAAATTATCCATTCCCTATTTCCTCTCTATCGGACTTATTTCTTAATCTTTATTAAAAATGCTCTTTGAAAATGTTCAGTTTATTCTACTTTTTTTTATTGCACAATCATAATTTTTAGGGACTCCTGCGCGGTGTAAAATCCAATGGAAATTGTGATATATTTTACATTATGAAGATGGATTATATTTATTATATTTCGAACGTGATCTCGGTTGTTTTTTTTATTTTGATAATCTGAAATGATCTCCAATTGCTATTCAGTTTCACATAGCCCTGGAGTCTCCAAAAATTATGATAGTACAATCAAAAAACGTTGAGAAAAAGCCGAACATTTTCAAAGAGCGTTTTTGAATAATATTGGGAAATAACCCCAATAGGGAGGAAATTGCAAATTAATAATTTGTCACAGTATTCGATGGCTGTGAGATCGTTAGTTACCATGATAAATTATCCATTCCCTATTTCCTCTCTATCGGACTTATTTCTTAATCTTTATTAAAAACGCTCTCTGAAAATGTTCAGTTTCTTCTACTTTTTTTGATTGCACAATCATAATTTTTAGGGACTCCTGCGCGGTGTAAAATCCAATGGAAATTGTGATATATTTTACATTATGAAGATGGATTATATTTATTATATTTCGAACGTGATCTCGGTTGTTTTTTTTATTTTGATAATCTGGAATGATCTCCAATTGCGATTCAGTTTCACATAACCCTGGAGTCTCCAAAAATTATGATAGTACAATCAAAAAACGTTGAGAAAAAACCGAACATTTTCAAAGAGCGTTATTGAATAATATTGGGAAATAAACCCAATAGGGAGGAAATTGCAAATTAATAATTTGTCACAGTATTCGATGGCTGTGAGATCGTTAGTTACCATGATAAATTATCCATTCCCTATTTCCTCTCTATCGGACTTATTTCTTAATCTTTATTAAAAACGCTCTCTGAAAATGTTCAGTTTCTTCTACTTTTTTTGATTGCACAATCATAATTTTTAGGGACTCCTGCGCGGTGTAAAATCCAATGGAAATTGTGATATATTTTACATTAAGAAGATGGATTATATTTATTATATTTCGAACGTGATCTCGGTTGTTTTTTTTATTTTGATAATCTGGAATGATCTCCAATTGCTATTCAGTTTCACATAGCCCTGGAGTCTCCAAAAATTATGATAGTACAATCAAAAAACGTTGAGAAAAAGCCGAACATTTTCAAAGAGCGTTTTTGAATAATATTGGGAAATAAACCCAATAGGGAGGAAATTGCAAATTAATAATTTGTCACAGTATTCGATGGCTGTGAGATCGTTAGTTACCATGATAAATTATCCATTCCCTATTTCCTCTCTATCGGACTTATTTCTCAATCTTTATAAAAAATACTCTTTGAAAACAATCCATTTACTTTGGGTGTCTTCAATCTATTGATTTTTTTTGTGGTCATTAATCCCTGGGAACGATCCATTATTTTTAATATGTAAATAAACTCTGATATTGAGTCGTCTTGGTGAACTATATCTACACTGATTTCAATGGTTGTAAATTTTATTTCAAGGCTGAGCCACTCAATCTGTCAAAATATTGAGAATTCAAGGTAATGGTTCAAGCCACAATTTTTGTACTGCTCAGGGGGACGTGGCGGTCGGAGATTCGTGTTGACGCTGGCAAGTGGAATGGTTTTTGGGTTCTTATCGGCATGTCTGCTGATTACAGCCACGAGGGACTCCAGTAGGATGCTGGGGTGGCTCCCAGGGGGGTCCGGGGGGTATCGGGACCCCCATCACTACTCAGAGCTGGATTCAGAGGTGAGCATTGTAATTAATTGATTGATGAAATTTAGTGTAATTAATGTTGATGGGTATTTCGATTAATGACCGTTAATGCTCATTAAGTCGTTGACTTTTCCCTGTAGAACATTTGCCTGAGCATTAAGAAAATTTACTCATTTAAAAATGAAGTCTCATTAAATTAATGATTAATGAGATAATTGCGTACTGATTTAAATTGAGTTAAATATGACGTCTTGATCATTTAGGCTTTCACATCTAAAATTTTTGAGTCTTAAACTATTTCAGTAGCCAAGTGATCAAACAGAGCTGAAAAAATCCATTCAATAAAGTGAATAATTTCATTGAAAATCGCAGCTTGGTCCAGATACAGAAGTGAAATTTCACGGAGCTGATGAGGAGTTCCACAAGGGCGAGGACAAAGTAGCCCAGGAAATGGCTAAAAAAGTTCGTGTCCTCTGCTGGATCATGACAGGCCCCAAGAATCACCAGAGCAAGGCGAGGCACGTCAAAGCCACCTGGGGCAAACGCTGCAATGTTCTCTTATTCATGAGCTCGGCTGAAGGTATTTGAGCTGCGTCAACACGCCATATTTTTCCGGAGTCTCGTATTCCTTGTAACGTGATGAATGGCGTAAATGAATTAAAAAAATGCTGAGTTTGGGCATTTTATTCGGTTTCAGACCCCAGTTTACCCAGCGTTGTGCTGCCGGTGAAGGAAGGCAGAGATAATTTATGGGCCAAGACCAAAGAGGCATTCAAATATGCTTATGACAAGTATAAGGATGAGGTCGATTGGTTTATGAAAGCTGATGACGACACGTAAGGTTTAATTTTTTAGCGCCGGGGGATCGATTTTACAGGGGCGGGAGGGAAATGTGACGAATGGATTTTTTTCCAGTCTCTGTAGGGGTTGGATGCAGGGGAAATTGTGGAAATAATATTTTTTTTTTGACACTTGAAAAATAAATTTAACAAAATTAATGACTTGATAAAAATTTATGCCTCAATGAATTTTTTGAAAATTAGGGGAGAGTGGGGCAAAATGAAACAGACGAAAAATGACTGACGTAATTCAAGCAAAAAAATTTTTTTGTTAAATTTTGTTTTCATTATTTTTTTTATTCACTTCCCCTAATTCAAAAAATTACAAAAAAATTGACGTTTTTTAAAAAAAAATTGTTAAAAATTTTTTTTGCCAACTTTTTTTATTATTGGAAGTACTGATGAGAATAACATTTTTCTATTCGTCTTATAATTCAATTAATTAGATTAGGCCGATTGCACTTTTCTTTTTTCATTCGATTGAAATTCAGTGCCACATTTTCCTTTTTCCTCCTTTGGTTCTCCCCCTGTTTCATTTCAAAACTTCTCAATAATATTCCACTCTACTGAATGTAAAATTCTTATTCTCATCAGTACTCTCAAAAATAAAAAAAAGTAAATAACCAAAATTCATAAAAAAAATATTTAACAAAAAAAAATTTGTTGAATGAACTGCCTCAAACAGTCATTTTGCCCCGCTGTTTAATGTTGCGCCACCCTCCCCCAATTAAAGAAATTAATTACGTGAAAAAACGATTTTTTTTCAGATACGTTATTGTTGAAAACCTGCGTTACATGCTATCATCCTACAACCCCTCATCCCCTCTGTACTTCGGCTGTCGTTTCAAGCCCTTCGTGAAGCAGGGCTACATGAGCGGTGGCGCTGGTTACGTACTTAGCAAAGAGGGTCTCCGTAAATTCATCGAGGAGGGACTCCCAGACACGAAAAAATGTCGTTACGACAATGCTGGTGCTGAGGACGTGGAGATGGGCAAATGCCTGGAGAACGTCGGCGTCAAAGCGATGGACTCGAGAGACCCCTTTGGAAGAGGAAGATTCTTCCCATTCGTACCTGAGCATCATCTCATACCCAATCACGTAGACAAGGACTTCTGGTACTGGAAGTACATCTATTACGAGACCAAAGACGGTCTCAATTGTTGCTCAGACAGTGCCGTATCATTCCACTATGTATCGCCAAATATGATGTACGTACTTGAGTATTTAATTTATCACTTGAGACCCTACGGGGTCACTCACAACATCGAGGAGTTACCACTGAGGCCATCAGCTATCACTGAATACTAGTCCAAAGAAAATTATAGGAATCAATTGTTGTTGTTTTTTCTCTAAATGGCCATGTCAACTGTACAGTAAAAAATTCGAATGCTAGTCATCAGACGCCAACGACTCACATTTTTCCTTCTTCTAAAAGAGATGAGAGAATTATTCATCAACTATTCAATATTTGATAATGAAATAATTCCTCTCGTCCCATTCAACGTAATTGTGCAACAATGCAAGATTAATCGAATGCATAATCCAGCATGAAAAGCACAAGTTTTTTAAGTAAATTAAGTGAATAAAGGGATACGTACAGTGGATGTTTTTTAATGCAGAATGAGGATATATAGATATATATACACATAAAACTGTATTTCATAATGTTAATGGTAATAATATAATATAATAATCCCAATAATGTCGTTACTACCCAAGTAATAAATACTATAAATACATAAGTGAGTCTGAGGATTCTGTGTGAGTAAATAAAACCAATGAATCTTCACAATTTTTTCATCGCTTTTTTTTTCATTTTTTTTTCACCTTCAGGGGGATAGGGTTTTCTTCCTCTAGATCCTATGTACAATTTATTATTTGTACTATGCGACTGACGCAGTGGCCCCGCCTCAGACGCGCCCCATTTTAAAAATTTTATTTTTTTCAATCATCAAAAAAATTGTTTCCCTCCCTTCCACCGATTAAAAAGGAAAATTCAATTTCACTCTCATCAGTGAAGTAATTTTTTGATGAAAAAAAATAAAATTGTCCCTTGGAATAAACGAAATAATTTAGACACAACTGTTACTTTTTACCTCACATTTTTCTTACTTTCTCCTATTGTTCAATAGTCCTCATCAATTCGCCTAATTTTTTTCCATCAATCGTCAATTAAATTCAATGATAAATTACTTATTCTCATTTTAAACAATATTTTACATTACAACTGTTATTTATAATAGAATGTCATCTATTAATCATCTCATTATCATGAATAAAACGATTTTTGTTCTTTTTTTCTTTATTCTCTTTTAAGAAAGGAATTGTAATTGTGAAAATTAATATACAAGTATCACGCGATTAAAACTCTCAATGTGACACTAATAAACATGATAACAGGGTGGCCCCATTGAGAGAATTTTTCATTCATCTTTTATGATTTTATCGAGCCGCGTCATCAACTGAATTCCCTTTAATATCAATTCTTCCACTTGGGGCTTGTACGAGGCGAAAATATGGGGGAGGGGGAGAAGGAGAGAGAAAGAGAGGGGGCTAGCTATTTAATGAATATCAAATCATCAATAAAAAATCGACAACTGGGGGGGAGGGGAGATTGATTACAATAATGGATAATTCATCTAATGTTTAAAGCCCCACACGTCCTCATCATTATTCTCGCTGTTGTCCCATAATTCTTATGGTGTTATTTTTTTTCAATTATTTCGTCTTTTGTTCATTTATATTCATCTATATAAAATTAAAAAACAACGTAATATTCGTTATATTACTTTGTCGCTAGTAATAATTAAAAGCTTTGTACAAAAAGTCAATTTACAATTAAAAACATTTTCCCATTTTTCCTCTACTATTTTGTTTATTTTTCCTTTTCCTTTTGATATTACGCAACCATTATTATTATTTGCTTACTAGAGATTCTGATTATTTCTTTGTTCATTTTGTCTTTAAAAATTCAACTATCTAAAAAATTCGAAGAGGCAATGGATTTTATGCAAAAAATTATTATGCCCTATTATGCTAAACATCATGTATTTTTAATCATTCATTATTCGTTTCGTTATTCATTCTCTCTTGAGCCAAATTAAAATTACCTAAAAATTGCGTAATAAAAGAGAAAAAAATTGAGTCATTTTAATCGGTTACTGTAGCTGTCTATTAGCTGCCTCTCCACCATATTTCTAATTAAATAAAAATCACTAGTTTGAATTGATAATTGCATGACTCTCGATTGGAACTGAGAGAATGTTGTCATGAGGGCGTATGAAAGTGACTCCTTTATGCTCTCGTTTAAGCCCCACGTGTTACTAATATTAAACATAATAATAATAATTGCGTGAGAGAGATTGAGGGGTTGGTAATTATGCGCTAGTAATTTTGATGGTCTGGGTCAGACGAGGGCTGCTGATGCGTGGTACAGCTGCATGAGCGCTTGTACGTGCACTGGTAAACAAGAGAGACGATCCTTAGTGTTTGAATCAACTGCCAGCCATGATAGTGCATTGTATCCTTCTAGGACGTATCTGAAATATTGTTTATCGTTGTTGACAATTTTTTTTTAAAGACTTTCTATTTTTGCTTCCGAATGGAAGCATTGTAATCGTTCAAAAGTTAGTTTTGGATTTTTTGTGTTGTATCGATCCATTATGATGCCAAAATTCCGAAAATGCATTTTTTAGTGTGTAACAAATTTTTTCTTCAATTTCTCGCTATGAATAGATGGAGTTGAATCGTTTTTTCTCTCAAATGTAGGTACTGTTAAGCCCTATCCATCGCCATTAATTGAAATTTAATTCGATTCATTTTTTTATTTTCGAATTTTTTCAAAATTCAGTTGTAACACGATAATTAAAAAAATGTTCTAAATTCATTGAATGACGGCTGTACGAGAATGAAATGAATTTAGAATGACGGGAGTACGATGATGAAAGTGATGGCAATAATCGTTATTTTGATTTCTGTGAAATTTTTCCAAAATTTCGTATTTTTCGAAAATCAGAATTCCGCAGATATCTCTGGATAGTGCGCTTCAAATAAATTCAATCATAGCTTAATATGTTTGTTTCCACAATAACTGTCTCGGTTAATTTGATTTTTAGGATAATTTCTAGAAATTTCGAATTTTTCATGAATTCCCCGGAAAGTTAGCTTTCTGATGGTTCCTTTAAATCTGATGTTTCGAATGCATTCAATTATGTATAAATGAAATATTCCTAATAATACTTCACAGAAATTTTCAGAAATTTTTAGAATTTCATTGAGTGGAAAATCTAAAACAATTAGTTGAAAAGAAATTGATTCAATTCAAGAAAACAAAATAGCCTACGAATAATATACAATGGAAAAAAATAAGCGCAATGACCATTCGGAAGCGTATTGCTAATTTATTAGCAAAAATAACTATACCATTCGCAATACAGGAGCAATTTCCCCCATTTTTTTCAAAACGTTCAACAGTTTGAAATTAAAAAAAAAATCCAGAGGAAAACCGAATCATCATTTCAGTAGTGAAGCGGTAAACCGAGTTAAGTCGATTTTGACTATTAGCTAGTTTTTGCTGAATATCTCGGAATCTAAGAGAGATAGCAAAATTTTTCTCATTACTTTTTTTATAACGCTCTATTGGCTCTACAAAAAAGGTCATGACAAAAATCTTTCTATCTCTTTTAGATTCCGAGATATTCGTCAAAAACTAGCCAATAGTAAAAATCGACTTAACCCGGTTTACCGCTTCGCTACTGATTTTATCTTAATAACGGAAATAGATAGTAAATTCAATAGAATAATGACTGAATTACCTCAACACATCAGTTGTGTACTGTGAATCCAGTGGATGTGCAGTCAGCGCACTCTGCTGTTGCAGCAAATCATCACTATTCTGCTGTATCGCTGGACTGTGCAGATGAAGAGCATTTTTCAGGAATGCAGGACAAACGCCCTCAAGATGAGGACAAGCAGCCCAGAACCAGGGTGGCATGCGTCCAGTAGGTGCTGTTGACACGAGATAGCCAAGTGCCAGTGGCTGTTGGAGCAGTGTCCCCACCTCCTCGGCTTGATCAGCAACAGTGGCCTGTCGTCATCATTCGCAATCAGTGACAAAATCACCCCTCGAAAATTGAAATCACGATAAATAATGAATGATAGTTACCCTCGGTGTATTGCTGCAGGGAAATGGACTGCCAGGGCCGTCGTGATTTCCCATACCAGAGCCGCCACCATCTCCACCCATTGGCGAACCCTCGGGCCTGTGGGGACTGCCACCAGGACTCTGACCACCACCGCCAGTTGCTTCTGGCCAGACGTTGAATATATCGTTGAAATCACCCATTCCCTCCATACCCTCAGGCATATCGTCATTCAGGGCTGAGAATAACTCGTCATCACCCAGCTCAGGACCATTTATGTGCTGCTCCTGGAATGCTGTCTGCGACGACTGGTGACGGACAATCGAAAAATTTATCAACTGACAATTTGACTTTTGCTTTAAAAAATCTAGATTTGGCTTTTCTTCAGTTTTTTTTTTCTCCTGAAAACACTTGGCATATCTCCGAAAATAATGAAGGTAAAACTAGCAGAATATTCGTCAGCGGAGAATGCAATTTAGGGGATATTTAAGTGTAGTCCAATAAAAGGAGATAAGCCAATTTTGACTATTGACCAGTTTTCAATCAATATCTCGGAATCTAAGGGAGACAGCAAAATTTTTCTCAGAACCTTTTTAGTAGCACTCAATTCGCTCTACAAAAAAGGTTATAATGAAAATTTCGCTATCTCCTTCTAATTCGGAAATATTTCTGGAAAACTCAGCTAAAGATTAAATCGACTTAAGGACCGGGTGTCCTATCTTTCGAACGTTATCTCGGTGTTTTTTTTCATCTTTCGTCATCTGAAATTGTCAATTAAGTCCTGGATCATGGAGAAGTTTTGAAAAATTATGAATGAATAATCAAAAAAAAGTAGAAAAAATTCTTAATTTTTTCAAAGAGCATTTTAAATTTATATTCAGAATAAGTTGAATAACAAGAAATTGAAAAATGTATCTGATTTACGGTGACAAATGGCGGCCTGTCACCCAATATCATCTCTTTGAAAAAAGTTGTAATATTTTTGAGAATTTTTAAATCACACTTTTATCACATAAAAATGGCAGATGACTACATACCACTGTTTTAAAAATTGAGATACCTAGCTGTCACTTCCCACGAGGAGTCAGTGTTTTGTTATCCACCACGAAAAATGACAGCTAATAGATAATTGCCACAGCGAATCAGATATTTGTAATTTCCACTTTTTTCAGCTCATTCTGAATCCCAATTAAAAACGCTCTTTCAAAAGGTTCAGAATTTTTTCTATTTTTTCCATCATTCTATCATATTTTTGGGAATTTCCACATGATATAGGGTAAGCTACCCAGTAGATGGACACTGTCCTATAGATGGACGAGCTACTTTTGGATAGCAAATTACGCAAAAAAATACTGAAATGTGAATTGTTGCTTTGAATTTTCACTAACTGTTGTGATTCTTAACCCCTGAGTGACGATTTTGTTTCGATCAATTTCTTTTTTCAATTGCTAAAAAACAAACGTCCATCTACTGGGCGGTTTTCATAGGCGTCCATCTACTGGGCAGTTTACTCTACCCCTCAATTGACAACTTTGGATTACGAAAGATAAAAAAATCCAGACAAAATTCGAAAGACAGTACACCCGAGCCTCCTAATGAACAAAAAAAGCTTATACATACTGTAGTAGTCGCCGAAGTTGGAAACACAAGAATATGAGTGCAGGTGACATCCTGAGGAGTAGACAATTGACAATTGACCGCAGGTTGACTGAACCTATCATCCGGAGTGAACTGATCCGCCATGAGCCGCAACGTAGAGTCCGGTTCAAGCGATACAAGACAAGCACTGAGAACACAGGGTGCAACCGAGGGATAAAGAAGGCTGCACTGTCCACAAATTTCCTTGAGATGTTTCGAGGCCTTGAGGAGAGATTTCCTCGACAGCAGCCAACTCCAGCCCTTGAGCTCCCCATGCCCAATCCTCCCCACCCTCCCCACGACCAGCCTCCAAGGTTGCACCCCCTGGGACATGACCCCAAGAATAAAATCCATGAGTTTTTGGAGTCCAATTCTCCTCGCCGAGGCCCGTTTCCTCCTCTTCCTATTCGGAATATCAATATTGATGGCAGCAGTCTCGAAAATCTCCCCTCTGTCGTCAGTGGCAACAGCCAAAAGCCTCGACTGATCCTCCGACAGACAATAGCTCAGATAAAGTACAGAACACTCTTCGGGTCCAGCAATTCCAAAGGACTCTGGAGCCTCGCTCTTGGGCCTCAGTGGAGCTAGTACATAAGCCGGCGCATAAAGCCGATAAGGAGCCCTATTCCTCTCATCCTTGCTCTTGAGGAAGAGATCAGCAGCGGCCGCTGTGCCAAATCCAGTCAGACTCTTGACAGTTGAATTGTGATTCAACAGTCTCCTGCCTTGAAGGAAGACATTCAACGCAAGTGCCCGCATTTCGTCCTGAATTTTTCTCCTCTCCCTGGCCCTCCCCAGCTCCATGATGCTCTCCAGAGAGATCAGTTGAACATTTATATTAGATCTTATATTTTCCGGCATTGCACTGATGGCCGCTGAGTACGCCCTGAGTAAAGCGAGCACTGCCAGCCGCCTCCTGTCAGGATTCTCCGGTCCACCAAGTGAAAAAGGCTCAACGATGTAAACGACAACAGCCGGTGGCTCAATTTCATCTTCATCAGGTCCAATGGTCGTCGAAGCTGCTGTACTATTCCCTGACGTCTGTGAATTACTTCCATTATTCCCCGGCGATGTCTGGGAATTGGTGGGTGTGGTATTCCCCACAGAATTATTGTTGGGAGTGTTGGATGGGGTTTCACTTCTAGTCACTTCATTATCAGGCTCTTGTTTGATGGAGACAGCCCCGTCTGGAGTCGGTGGCATGGACTCAGCAGGTGGTACCGATGGCGGTTGGGACTGACTCTGATGTTTACTCGGTGAATCAGCGGGGTCCAGGAGGCTCCTGTCCTGTATCACCTGGGTGAGATAAGGCCCAAGACGATGAGAGCAGACTTGAGCGTAAAGTCTCAACTGCTCGCCCAACTGATTCTCCCCAAGTAGCTTGAACCAATCGTCAATCGGTTGTTTGGCAAATTTCTGACAGGAATTTTTACCCACTTTAATAATTCCATCTCTGGAGGCCTTTGTTATTGCGGTGTGCTTCCCCAGCCTGCAAATCTCGTACGTTGTCGACAGCTCTCTGAAGAAATACTTGACTTTACTGATGACCGAGTCGTTGTCCGGCGTGAGAACAACGTAGGCAACGTCTCTCGGTCCAGCGTATGGCTCCAGCAATAGTTTCTCCCAGTAGTTCAAAGCATAAGGCGACAACGACAGCCAGTCTCTGTCGTAACCAACGACAAGAGCTGGTATTGGCTGGGGTTCGCATCGATCGTCCGTACCCCTCCCAGCTAATCGATGAAACTGCCTCCAGGTGAGTGGTCCAGCAACGGTGTAGGGTGCCTCCCACATTCTCGTTGTGCATTTTTTCTGGACTGCCTCCTGCAGAAGGGGCTGAAGTCCCCTCATCATCCTGACAATGTCACCAGTGCACTGAGGCCCCCTAGCTCTGATGAATGCCCACCTGTGCACTCCACTTATCCTGTTACTCCTCTCCATCTGACTGCCATCCACGAGTTTTCCCTGCTCAAGGGCAGCCAGTGACACATCATTTCCATCATTGAACTCCAGTGTATTTAAACTTGGCTGCGCCATGCTGCTGGTGCTCCTGGATCCAGCGTACACCTTGGCAGCCCTGTAGAGACTGCTGACAGAGCTCTGAACAATGGCGCACTGTTCACGAAGGAGTTCCAATACCCCAGAGGGAATCACATCCAGACCCTCGGACTTTCCACCTCCATTGGCAACAGCCATCAGTGATCCCTTCTTCTTATCACCAGGATCATCAGCTATTCCAGTTATCTCCATCTCGTCCTCGTAGAATAATCCAGCTTTATGGGCAAGACGTCGATTAACAACAGCACTGAAACCACAGCTGCAACGTATCTGATCGTCGTCGTGAAATAAACCACTGCCACCACCTGTCCAAGAGCCAGCTAGGTAAACACCAGCGTCAGCACCTTTTATATTACCAACAACCTTTGGCCCAGCATTGCAGACACACAGACTGCAGCTGTCGAAGTTGTGATCCCTGAAGATGTTGAGGACAGTGTCACCCAGGAGAATATTAACGATCAGGGAGTTTGATTCTGGTGCTCTCGTTGGTCCGGGTGTGTCAGCCTCCATGGAATTGAGGTTTTTGTTTAGATAGGACGACGTCGAGGTGGCGGGACTCGGCTGGTCGTAGGGGGGAGGCGGTGGTCTGCCTGAACGGTATGGGGCCACTGCTGGGGCTGGTGAGGGGGGACAAATCTGCTGGGGAGTTGGGACTTGGGGTTGAGGGGGTTGGGGTGTTGACTGGGGGGTTTGGGATCTATTTGACTGGGTCTGGGACCTGTTGGTGGATTTTTCCTGGCTGTTGGGGGCCTGATTGCATTGCCAGGAGGGCCGGTAGAAGCAGTGGGATGGCAGTGTCACTGGTGGCAGGGATTGACTCGGGAGATTTGTCAGTGGTGCGTATTTTGATGAGCCCACTAGCTTGCTTATTAGGGAGGGCTTGAATACGTAGGACCAGTCGTCGATTGGCTCCTCAGGTGGTGATCCCATGTTCGGGTAGATGTCGGGGAGCTGGCGCAGGGGGCGCTGGCTCAGGGAGAGCTCTGTCTGGTCCATTGGGACGTCGCTCAGTTGGCAGGGGGAGGCCACTGGGTTGTGCTCCAGGGAGGGGGGCGTTGGGAACATTTTCGAGAGCTCCTCTGGGCGGAGGACTCCCACTCCACGATTGTTGTGCTTTGTTGTGCCGTCCAGGCGGGTCTCCTCGTGAAGGCCACCGGATTTGTTCGAGCCTGGGGGCGTCTGCACCTGGAGTTGATTGAGGTTTGTCTCGTCGCTGGAGGTGTCTGGGTCGGAGTTGTCGAATATCTGGTCGAGGTCTTTGTAGGAGGCCTGGAGGCCCTCGGAGGTGAAGAGGGAGCCCGGCTTTGGCTCGTCGCGCTGACGACGGAGGGCGTCCGATCCACCGTTCTCATCCCCTGAGGGGTCGAAGTCGTAGGGGTCGGCTCTGCCGGTGCAATCGCCCTGGAAGAATTAATTCGTTTGGCGTTTTGGGGGGTTGGATTTTTAGAGGGTTTGATTAGTGAAGTGTCAATGAATTCGGTGAAAATATTTCGTTGATTCTGAACATGAGGGGGTAATTTATTGATTATGCCGGGGATTTGGATTGGGGAATTTAATGAGAACGACAGGAAAGCGAAGAATCATTTTTCATCACTCAACGAGAGAGAATATCACGAAATAAGAAAATTTACAGTAAACTGACAAAAACGGAGGTTTTTGAGGAATACGTGGTGACCCGAGTTTTTTTCACCGAAAAAAATTCCTTGGAAAAAATTTCCCCGGAAAATGTTTTCCCGAATAAAAATTTTAAAATTTCTTTATATAATTTTTTCCTTGACATTGTTTCCCATTTTGTGGGGATTGTAAATTATAATTATAATTATGTGATAAATTCTTGAAGGATGTAGTTAATTTTGTGTTGTTGTAAATTGATAATTTTATTCGGGGAAATTTTTTCCGGGAATTTTTTGTTGGGGAAATTAATTCCGGGAACCAAATACGTCTTTACATATTTCAAGAAACGTCAGTCTTAAAAATTTTCAAGAGTAAAATATCTTGCACTAAGAAAATCAAAAGTTTCGTCAAGTAATTTTGTACTTGTCTTAAAGACAATGACAATTTCTTGATGACAAGAAAGCAATTTCTCAAACCGATTAAAATTGAATGAATTCGTTTAATAATTTTTCATTCTCAATTCTAAAATAGTTCAATGCAAAAAACCGCTCCAATTGAATGAGTTGGACAACAATAGCTTTAAAAATTGAAAAATAAATAAATTCACTAAAACTAAACTCACAGTAATCAATCCTGGCTCCTGCTTGATCTCGAGTTTAGGTGCCTGTTGATTAATTGAATTATTCATGGGTGGATAAAGACTGCTCGATCGTTGATTGCAGGGCCCAACAGATGGATTATATCCATCCTCCTTGAACCGTTTAACAGGATGATTGAGCCATGCCTCCTGCGTTGAATAATCGTACAGCCAAGAGAGCGGCTGTTCATCATCCAGAAGAGCGCCCTCGTACTCCCTAGACGCCAGTATTGGTCGTTTAAGCGTTGGTCCTGGCGCTGGACTGGGCATTTGATTATTATTGCAGCATGCTGACGATGTGGATTTGGGACCCTGGGATGGTGTCAATGGTGGGGCAGTATTCGAGTGACTTGGCGGTGGTTGTGGACTCAGTGTTGGCATCGTTGGATCAGCCGATGGTGGCACCGATGCTGGCTCTGAATGAGGAGTTGGAAGGGGTGATGGAACTGGTGAGCCTGGAGAGCCCACTGACGGTACTGGAGGGCAGTCACCACCCGTTGGTGGACCACGCGAGTACGAGGGAGGACCCCCTGGTGGAGTACTTGGTGCCTCTGTACTTCGATTCAGTGTTGACCTAAATCACCATAAAAAATTGATTATCCGAGGGGCTTTTTTTTATCATTTTCCCCCGGGGAAATCGATTGAACCCAGTCCAGATGAGCTTTTAACGATGAATTAAGCGATGAAAGACTGTTAAATAATGTCAAAATAATAGCCCTGACGGTGATCCCAGAAATAAAATGACAAGCAAAGCTGCTACACAAACTATCACCTTAATTGAGTAATTCGTAATTATTGATAATCAGCATGCAACTACCTAGGGCTCAAATCAAATAATTAAGGCCCAGGTGACTATCTTTCGAATGTTATTTGGGTTTTTTTCATCTTTCGTAATCCAAAATTGTCAATTGAGTGGTACATCATGTACAAATTCCCAAAAATTATGATAGAATGATAAAAAAATAGAAAAAATTCTGAACTTTGGCAAAGAGCGTTTTTAATTGGGATTCAGAATGAGTTGAAAAAAGTGGAAATTACAAATATCTGATTCGCTGTGGCAAATTATCTATTAGCTGTCATTTTCCATGGTGGATAAGAAAACATCAACTCCTCATGGGAAGTGACAGCTCTAGGTATCTCAATTTTAAAAGTGTGATTAAAAAATTCTCCAAAATATTGCAACTTTTTTCAAAGAGCCTTTTCCGTAATAAATGTCTCTGTGGAGTGTGGGAAAATATTTACGAAATCAGTCTTCCCCCTGCATGATATTGGGTGACAGGCCGCCATTTGTCACCGTAAATCCGATACATTTTTCAATTTCTTATTATTCAACTTATTCTGAATATAAATTAAAAATGCTCTTTGAAAAAATTAAGAATTTTTTCTACTTTTTTAAAATTATTCATTCATAATTTTTCAAAACTTCTGCATGATGCAGGACTTAATTGACAATTTCAGATGACGAAAGATGAAAAAAAAACATCGAGATGACGTTTGAAAGACAGTACACTCGGGCCTTAAGCCTGAATGAGGATTTAATCGTGATAAAGCGCCTGAGCTTTCACCTTAAGCGAACGTGATATTAGAGGCATTTATTTAAATAAAAAATGAATGATTAAGTTTCTTTAGTTCGATGAGTGACAAATGATCGTTCAACTTTTGTTCAATTAATCGATTATTCTTGATTCATTGATTTTTTTTTTTTTTTTTCGGGGGCAGATACCCACCTGGGGGCATTTGCAGGGACAGAGGGGCAAGAAGCATCCCACTGGGTGGTAGGGCGTCGATGAAACGGCACGACCCTCCTTCCACCTTTATCAACTCTTTCCCTCTGAACCTGAGTGGAGGCGATGCCCTTCCAACCCCCGGGGGTCGTACACCTGCAATCGCGTAGTTTTAATTTTTCAAATGATGATCCCTGTTCTTTAATTTTTTAAATTGAACCTTATCTACCCTCTTTCTCTCTTTTATATCACTCATTAATTTAATCAGTCTTTTAATTAATTCCGTTGATTTTTCTGTGGATAAATAATTCTCACATGCACACACTGCGACAGCCACTGAAATCTACATCTTCAATTTTTATTTTCGCTGAAAAATCTCTCTCATCACTCCCAATACTGCTCGTCTACTTCCTAACATGCACGAACAATTTCCTCAAGAGTTTTCACTGTTGTCATGTTTTTTAAAAATAATGACAAGTAAATTATTGTTGTTTAATATGTAAAATTGGACTCTAAAATTGCTCAAACTTCAGAGATTGAATCTGACATGCCTCGGACTAAACTAAAAACATCAACGAGTAACTAAAAATCAGGAAAAATTAACCATTAATTGATAATAGTGTTTGTGGCACTCACTTGGAGCAGGTGCAGGAAGACTTTTGTGTTGCATCGACGAATGTCCAGGTACCAAGCTCCGGGGAAGATGCATCATTACACTTGGAAGATAGTGGTGAACCGAGTGTGCATTCGGCCCAAACACGTTCAGGCAATTCAGTGGAAGCTTTTGAGTCGCGTTGAATTGAATTTGGATGCTCGTAAGTTGCTGTTGCTGGACTGTACGGTGGTGACAGTGGCAATTCAGTTGGAATATCGTCCATATCGGTGACGAGAACGTAACAGGATGGATAACGCATTCTAACACCACCCACGAGTACTTCAACGAGTGGGGGAAGACCAGACTCGATGTTATTACCATTCATTGGGTAAAAGTTCTTCCATTCTTCGAGTAGTTGGCTGTCTACACGGCCAACTTGACCGGTGAGGGTACCAGCGAGACCGTATGGTGCCAGAATAACTGGAAAAATTCCGTTAAAATTGTGAGGATTAATTTTTACTTCCGAATGGAAGCATTGTAATCGCTAATGAATAAATGGAATTGAATTATTTTTTTGTCAAATGTAGGTACTAGTAAGCCCTATCCATCGCCATTAATTAAAATTTAATTCATTGACTCATTTTTTTCATTTTAGAATTTTCTCAAAATTCAGTTGTAACACGATAACTAAAAATATTTTCTAAATTCATTGAGTGACGGCTTGAAAAATTCGCTGGGATGTCCTTTTGACCGACTTCGAAGATGAGAGCGATAGCAATAATCGTTATTTTGATTTCTGTGAAATTTTTCCAAAATTTTGTATTTTTCGAAAATCAGAATTCCGCAGATATCTCTGGATATTGCGCTTCAAATGAATTCAATCATAGCTCAATATGTTTGTTTCTATGCGACTATATCGAAGTTAGAAGATGGTTACAATAACTGTCTCGGTTAATTTAATTGTTAGGATAATTTTTAGAAATTTCGAATTTTTCATTAATTCCCCGGAAAGTTAGCTTCCTAATGGTTCCTTCAAATGTGATGTTTCGAATGCATTCAATGATGTATAAATGAAATATTCCTAATAATATTTCACAGAAATTTTCAGAAATTTTTAGAATTTCATTAAGTGGAAAGAAATTGATTCAATTCAAGAAAATAAAATAGGCTATGAATAATATACAATGGAAAAAAAAACCAAACTGACCATTCGAAAGCCTATTGCTAATTTATTCGCAAAAATAACTATACTGTACGCAATACAAGAGCAATTTCCCACTAGTTTTCATATGAATTTAAAATAAAATGTTAATCCCCAATAACTCAGGATTATAATGAGCTCTAATTCATCCCAATGCCATTTCACCTCATTTTCAAACACATGAAAATGAGAGGAAAGAGCAGTGAAAATCACTCAATTCATCAATTAATAAACAATCATTCAAAATGATTTTCCACCAACGAATGATCCCAGTGATATCAACAGGTTAATTCGCGTTTCACGAGATAACGAATAGACTGAAATATTGAATTCTCACCCTTGACACCATTCTGGGACGTCTGAGTACGCTGCAGACATGTTCGTGTAAGATGTCTAACGGCTGGATGCTGTCTAACATCGACACTCGCGCATACTGTGCTCTCCCCGTGGACGAAGAATGCGAAGGAGAACGACAGGTGGCTGCTGAAAATCCCACCCCCAAAGAATAATGTCTCATCAATTGTCACTCACGATTTATCTATTCGGCCGAAAAAATTATTCTACTCTTACCTGTTGCAGCGATGCTTCTCGAAGCCATCGTAAGGCTGGACAAACCATTTGCCGAGGCGAACAAAGTCACGTGAGAGGAGACACCGCTCTATCAAATTATGAAGAGCTTTGAACAGGAGAGAACGACACTCGTACGACAGACCACTCTCCCAGGAGCCTTGCTCACTCTCTGAAAGAATTAACATTTTCTTATTAATTTTATGTGCACTCATTTGTTATATTTTTCATGAGACCGAATTTACATGATTTTGTATGATTCATCACGTTATTATTGTAGGTTGATCTGAATCAATGTGTCAGTCCACGTATGCAAATTTTTGTGGTATTAAGGGTGCCAAGTGAATTTGGCGATGACCTTGAAAATTGACATTCACCAACAAAGTTATAATTTTTTTAATTAATAGTATTAGACTGATGGTGAACATCGGTGACAATTTTAAAATTTTAGAACNCCCATGCTTTCTCGAGGTTCGTCACGCGAAATAGAGAATTTTCCGCATTTATTTTCTCGATGTCTAGTTCCGGTTGCGGGTTTGAAATTTTGTCGGATGGATGAATACATATTTTTCCAATGATGGAGGGAAAGAAAAAATTTTTTATGAATCTTTTTTCAAATTCACTTGGCACCCTTAAGGCCCGAGTGTACTGTTCTTTCGAACGTTATCTCGATGTTTTTTTTCATCTTTCGTCATCTGAAATTGTCAATTAAGTCAAAAAAAAGAATTTGTTTCGAATGCATTCAATTATGTATAAATGAAATATTCCTAATAATATTTCACAGAAATTTTCAGAAATTTTTAGAATTTCATTAAGTGGAAATTTCAGCAACGAAATATTTGGCTCAAGAGGCGGATAATTCACACCAGACGGTGCCTTTTCAGGATGAAAATATCTCACACAGAGGAAAATTTATCAACTAATATTTTATCCCTAATTTACAAGATTGCTATCATATCATTATTATTGTTTCATTTAGGGATTCATTTGTTGTCTGCGATTATTAGACAGTCGAAACGCAAAACAACTATCCCTTGTTTCGCATAAAACAAGGATTTTTCGGGGGGAAAATACGTGTGGGAGTATCGAATAACGAAGGAGCAGTCCTAGAAATGACATTTCTTGCGTCTACAGAGAATACAATTTTTTTTGAACTACTAAATAATTTTTTGCGACAAATATTTTTCATTCCGCCGCACTCTCTGCATGTTTGGCACAAAAAATTCTTTTTTGATAATTTTCAAAAAAATATTTTCTCGGCACAAGTAAGACTTGTTTGACTATCCCTTGTTTCGCATAAAACAAAGATTTTTCGGGGGGAAAATACGTGTGGGAGTATCGAATAACGAAGGAGCAGTCCTAGAAATGAAATTTCTTGCGTCTACAGAGAATACGATTTTTTTTGAACTACTAAATCATTTTTTGCGACAAATATTTTTCATTCCGCCGCACTCTCTGCATGTTTGGCACAAAAAATTCTTTTTTGATAATTTTCAAAAAAATATTTTTTCGGCACAAGTAAGACTTGTTTGACTATCCCTTGTTTCGCATAAAACAAAGATTTTTCGGGGGGAAAATACGTGTGGGAGTATCGAATAACGAAGGAGCAGTCCTAGAAATGACATTTCTTGCGTCTACAGAGAATACAATTTTTTTTGAACTACTAAATCATTTTTTGCGACAAATATTTTTCATTCCGCCGCACTCTCTGCATGTTTGGCACAAAAAATTCTTTTTTGATAATTTTCAAAAAAATATTTTTTCGGCACAAGTAAGACTTGTTTGACTATCCCTTGTTTCGCATAAAACAAAGATTTTTCGGGGGGAAAATACGTGTGGGAGTATCGAATAACGAAGGAGCAGTCCTAGAAATGACATTTCTTGCGTCTACAGAGAATACAATTTTTTTTGAACTACTAAATCATTTTTTGCGACAAATATTTTTCATTCCGCCGCACTCTCTGCATGTTTGGCACAAAAAATTCTTTTTTGATAATTTTCAAAAAAATATTTTTTCGGCACAAGTAAGACTTGTTTGACTATCCCTTGTTTCGCATAAAACAAAGATTTTTCGGGGGGAAAATACGTGTGGGAGTATCGAATAACGAAGGAGCAGTCCTAGAAATGACATTTCTTGCGTCTACAGAGAATACAATTTTTTTTGAACTACTAAATCATTTTTTGCGACAAATATTTTTCATTCCGCCGCACTCTCTGCATGTTTGGCACAAAAAATTCTTTTTTGATAATTTTCAAAAAAATATTTTCTCGGCACAAGTAAGACTTGTTTGACTATCCCTTGTTTCGCATAAAACAAAGATTTTTCGGGGGGAAAATACGTGTGGGAGTATCGAATAACGAAGGAGCAGTCCTAGAAATGACATTTCTTGCGTCTACAGAGAATGCAATTTTTTTTGAACTACTAAATCATTTTTTGCGACAAATATTTTTCATTCCGCCGCACTCTCTGCATGTTTGGCACAAAAAATTCTTTTTTGATAATTTTCAAAAAAATATTTTCTCGGCACAAGTAAGACTTGTTTGACGATCCCTTGTTTCGCATAAAACAAAGATTTTTCGGGGGGAAAATACGTGTGGGAGTATCGAATAACGAAGGAGCAGTCCTAGAAATGACATTTCTTGCGTCTACAGAGAATGCAATTTTTTTTGAACTACTAAATCATTTTTTGCGACAAATATTTTTCATTCCGCCGCACTCTCTGCATGTTTGGCACAAAAAATTCTTTTTTGATAATTTTCAAAAGACCATTTTCTCGGCACAAGTAAGACTTGTTTGCGAGCTCTGTCGTTTTTCTCTCCCTGCAGTACCGAAATATCAGGTAGACCGTGGGCTACATGGTGGGGTTTTGGTGAAGACCAAGAGGCGTCGAACAAGAGCCACTGGCCGGCTACAGCGACACGTGTTCTGTCCGATCGATAAGCCAACCAAGTGGGGGGAAAAGTGCATCGTCGCGTCCCATCGACATCCGTATTTTCATCTCTCTCCCTCACCCGTGCAATTGTCCCCCTCCCTTCCTCCACCCAACATTGCCACAAGGGGTTGGGGGTTGGGGGCCATCACCACCCGAGACTTGCACCAACACCAGACCCCATCCCCCCTTAAAAATGGGGGCGCGACGCTTCGATCGAGGAACATCGGATATAGCTACGAACGCAAGCGCAAATCCCATGATTCATCCAAAAATTGTGCTCCATTATTTCCCACCGGAAAAATCGATGACTGGTATATCTGGAAAAAATCGATGACACGTGAGTGACTGTCATGAAAAATATTTCAAAACCCTGGCAATTGCTGGTGAGGCAGTTCAAGTGGAACATTTGAAAAAATATAACTGTGAGGAAATGAAGAGAAATTCTTTGCGATGCCTGACAGAGTCCAATCGTTCACGATAATTGGGTCAACGTGAATTGAAATAAACGGATGTAGATCGATAAATGTGCCCTCTCTGGCGATTGAATCGAAGGAGTAAAAAAACATTGAGAGGACTCACTTGTTGATCCCTCGAGTTGGAAATCCAAATTTTCCTGGAGATTAAATTCCCCCCGATGAAACGGTTAATGTTTTACTCGTCATTCCCGGGTTTAAACGATCTCTCTGATGCCACCATAAACTCGTTAGACGATTTAACAACCCCCCGATGACGTGTGGATGTCAGTAAAAAAGGCATTGATAGGCGTAATGACATAACGGTGTTGTACACCACGTACTTCCATTCTGAAATAGTGGATTTACGGTGGGGTAGAGAGGCCAAAAGGAGTGAGAAAGACGAAATGGATTATATACATGCATACATGGACAACGGACACGCGGTTCAGCGACCCCAACCGTTGGCTACAACGCGCGCCTCAGCACACGACGGGTCCTTCTCCCATAGAGCCGCGTCGTGTGCCTGATTTCCACCTCCACCGAGTACTTTCGTTTCTCTCAGCTACCACCGGTGCCAACCTCTGTTCCACCACTCGCCATGGAAACAATGTGTGGCCTCGGGGAGAGGTGAATCTTTCGTTAAAAACGTTGAAATATGTTGAGGGGATTTTTGTCGTGTTGTTGATGAGATATTAGGTGTTTCTGGATTTAGGTGGGAATTTATTCGTAAAAATTTTGGCGATCTCGACTGGAAAAGCCAAATCGAATGAGAATGACGCAGTAAAGCGATGAATCATAATTTTTCGTCACTAAATTAGAGAATTTACGCTGCACTGACAAAAACAAAGATTTTTTAGAAATGTGGCTTTACACTTTGGCTTTTTTTAAATTATTCATAACTCAGAAACAAATTTACCAATCGAGCTCAGTTTAGGCTCGTCAAAAAGGGAAAGAATTGTTCTTTGTACTGAAAAAAAAATTATCAAATTTCATCAACATTTCAACCCCTCATTAACATTTTAAAAAAAGTCAAAAGTGTAAGAAACTTCTGACTGGAAAATTTTCAAGAGTAAAATGTCTTGCACTAAGAAAATAAAAACTTTCGTCATGTAATTTTGTACGTGTCCTAAAGACGAGGACAATTTCTTGATGACAAGCAATTTCTCAAACCAATTAAAATTGAATGAATTCGTTTAACAGTTTGGTAGCCTCAGTTCTAAAATATTTCAATGCAAAAGCCACTTTGATTGACTTGAGAACTCGTTTTCTTGATATGAAGAAATTGTCCTCACCTTACGGACAAGTACAAAATTTCAAAAACCTCAACTTCCTCAGCCATTAACGGCCGTAGCAGCAACTCAAATAAAAATGAATACAGGAAAGAATCCAAAGAAAAAATATAAAACGATTCTTCCACCAATTGCCAACGTCTCGAGCACAAAGTGTTCTTCATCAGGGCATTCATTTATTCTGCAGATAAACAAACAATATTTTTCCCATGAAACACTACCAAAAACCAATTCCATTTGACAATCTAGTGCAGTATAAAAAAATCATGAAAATTGCATCACCCACCTAATAATCAACCCATTAGTTATTCAAAGCTTGTGACAAAAATGTTATTAAGGATGTTCGACACCCTTTTAGCCAAAATTGACGTTGTTTTCATTTTTCTGGCAAATTATCGATGGGAGTGACGTGAAAAAATATAACGATTTTGTGGTTTGTCATTCTTTAATGGCTCACGAAGTTGCGTAGTGGTGCGATAATTTTCATGCATTTTTTCTACAGTTTTGTGATTCTTTTTAAAAGTTTAGAGAAAACGCAGGAAAATGTTCGCACCACCTTAAAATTTCGTCAGTCATTAAATAATGACAAAACGCAAAAACGTTATATTTTTTCACGTCAATTCCATCATAAGTTTGCCAGAAAAATTAAAAAAACGTGAATTTTGGCAGAAAGGGTGTAGAACATCCTTAACCAAAGAATTTTCAAACTTGTGCAAAGCCCAAAAATAAAACACAAGTGTAAACACAAGTACAAGCACAAGTATAAAATTTTTTGGCGCAAGATTTTTTTTTCTCAGCGTGAGATACTGTCCGCTTGGTAATTTTCAAGCCACGAATTTCTCGATACAAGTGCACAAGTACTCCAAAAACCCCCAAAAACCCTTGTTTTCTCAGTGTAGAAACGTGTGGCTTCGATGAAAAAAGGAGAATTTCACTGGGAATGATTTTTTACTCCCCTCAATGATGAGGAGAATGCACTTTATTCGATGGTAAAAAAATATATGGAATTCGCTCCGGACGGGGAAACCTGTTTTCTTGCTGTTGGAGTTTTGTTTACTCACCGCAGGCGATGAGTTCCTGTGACACGAGACCCGACAAATCCGGCTCCTCGCCGTACCAGAATATCCAGAGCTCCTTGGCAGCGGTTAGGGACAGGGGCGGTGGAGCTGGTGATGGGGCTATTCCAAGATCAAATATTCCACCTCCACCGGAGGTTGAGGGTGGTGTTGCTGCCACTCGCCGCCATACGCAGAGAATGTCACCTGCTAGACATCTTGAGAAACTCGATAAGACTGGATCCTCAAGGGGGGTACCCCCAAAGCCACCTGTCATCTCGCCCCACACGAGCTTTCGCCATTTTATCCCACAGAGGTCGGTCTGCAAATATTTTCATTTTTCATCGTCATTAATTGTCTTTTATTCATTATTTTTTGAACATATTTTTGCATTTCAGGCCCGGGTGTACCATCTTTCGTCATCTGACATTGTCAATTAACGTTTAATTGACAATTACTTGTTATTATGTAATTATTAATTGTCAATTACGTTATCTCGATGTTTTTTTTCATCTTTCGTCATCTGAAATTGTCAATTGAGTCCTGCATCATGCACAAGTTTTGAAAAATTATGAGTGAATAATCAAAAAAAAGTAGGAGAAATTCTTAGTTTTTTCAAAGAGCATTTTTCATTTCAGTAGCGAAGCGGTAAACCGGGTTAAGTCGATTTTGACTTTAGGTCAGTTTTTGATGAATATCTCGGGATCTAAGAGAGATGGCAGAATTTTCCCCATGACCTTTTTTGTAACCCTCAATTGGCTCTACAAAAAAGGTGATGACAAAAAAATTTCTATCTCTTTTAGATTCCGAGATATTCGTCGAAAACTGGCCAATAGTCAAAATCGACTTCACCCGGTTTACCGCTTCACTACTGATTTATATTCAGAATAAGTTGAATAACAAGAAATTGAAAAATGTATCTGATTTACGGGGACAAATGGCGGCCCAATATCATGCAGGGGGAAGACTGATTTCGTAAATCTTTTCCCACACTCCACAGAGACATTTATTACGGAAAAGGCTCTTTGAAAAAAGTTGTAATATTTTTGAGAATTTTTTAATCACACTCTTATCACATAAAAATGGCAGATGACTACATACCACTGTTTTGAAAATTGAGATACCTAGCTGTCCTTCCCACGAGGACTTAGTGTTTTGTTATCCACCATGGAAAATGACAGCTAATAAATAATTTACCACAGCGAATCAGATATTTGTAATTTCCACTTTTTTCAACTCATTCTGAACCTCAATTAAAAACGCTCATGGAAAAAGTTCAGAATTTTTGCCATTTTTTTATCATTCTATCATAATTTTTGGGAATTTCCACATGATGTACCACTCAATTGACAATTTTGGATTAGGGGAGCATGGGGCAAAATGAAACAGTGGGAAAATCTCGTCATCTAAAGGAGATAGGACATTTTTGAAAAGGACCTTTTTTGTAGCTTGTAAAATTCTCTACAAAAAAGGTTTCCATGAAAATCGTCCTATCTCCCTTAGATCACAAGATTTTCTTGCTGTTTCATTTCGCCCCGTGTTTCATTTTGCCCCACCGTCCCCTACGAAAGATAAAAAAAATCCAGATAACATTCGAAAGATAGTACACCCGGGCCTTAACCTGACTGACCACTTCACCCCTGAATTGAACTCAAATTTAGAGTAGGGGAGGGTGGGGTAAACGGACACTAGACTTTTTAAAAATTATTCATAACTCAGAAACAAATTGGTCAATTGAGCTCAGTTTAGGCTCGTCACAAAGG